ACCGGGATAGGCAAGGAGCCTGCCTTAGCAGCAGCCACAGTGCGCTGCTGGAGATCGTGATCAACCAGTCAATTGTGATCGACCAGCTGGTGACCACTGCACTAAAGCCACTTCTGCAGCTCTTCCATAGCTTAAGGGCATGTCTACACTGTTGCAGGGGGTGGGGGGAGGAAATGAGGGGGATGGTCCCGGAGCTGAATGTCTACACCACAGTTAAACAGCCCCAGAACCTGAGCCCTGAAAATCTGACTCAGCTGACACTGGCCAGCTGTGGGTGTTTCATAGAACCATAGAATATCAGGGTTGGAAGGGACCTCAGGAGGTCATCTTGTCCAACCCCCTGCTCAAAGCAGGACCAATCCTCAATTTTTGCCCCGGATCCCTAAATGGCCCCCTCAAGGATTGAACTCACAACCCTGGGTTTAGCAGGCCAAGGCTCAAACCACTGAGCTATCCCTCCCAGTATAGACATATCCTTTGCTCTCCATTGCTCAGGGGTGTGAAAAATCCACATCCCCTGAGTGATGCTGTAAAACCGACCTAGCCCCTGGTGTAGACAGTGCTATCTCGATGGGAGGGGTTCTCCCATTGACATAGCTACCACCTCTCAGGGCGGTGGAGTACCTAGGCTGATGGGAGAAGCCCACCCGTCAGCATAGGCAGTATCATCACTGAACCACTACAGTGGTGCAGCTGCTCCACCGCAGCGTTTAAGTGTAGACCTGCCCTTAGCAATGCTCATGGAGACCTAAATACAGCTTTCTGTGCTGCATCTATGCCCCATGGGTTTTGAACCTGCAGCAGGAGAGTTTAAATTATATCTATTTCTGTAACTTCTGGCAACCCAGTTTTACTATTGTAAAAACAGGGAGTGGCTGGTACAGTGTATCTGTAAAAACGCTACATATAAAAAGGGATTTAATGGTTTCTTCTTTTATTCCTGGCTATCCAAATAGTCAGCTGTTTGTGCATACTGTAGGTGAATGCCTTTTAAACATGAAGACAGTCTCACTGCAATTCAGAATTAAAAAAATGGAGATGCTCTGTGCTCTCTCTGTAAGGCTGTTATTCAAAATGTAAGAATGTGTCAGAATAAACTTCACACGTGCACACTGCAGACAGACGAGGATTCAAATACATTAAAGGCACAAAAAGGCTGCAGTTTCCTAGAGGCAGAACTTAACAAACGAACAAAAAAAATTAACGAGGGTTCCAATGCACAGTATGCAGTTCATGAATATCTCAAAGTTCCTCGGGTGTAGGATTTAAATAAGCCTTTTTGTGCAGATCACAGATACTGGCACAGGAAACGACTCTTAAGAATTCTGAGGGATAGCTTCAAAGTTTTACCTTAGTTTTATACCAATTTAAAAAACAAACAACCCCATGAAATCCTCCTTGCAAAATAAATTCAAGTCACCTTGGATCGGAGTATTAAATGAGAGAACAGAAACTTTCTGAAAGACAGTAAACAAATATGGTAGTTGACAGTTAACTGAGCAGGGGGAATCTGTGAAACTGACAATTTACTGAGAGTTGTGCCATAGACATCAATGTTAAGGTCTGCTGTCACTGAACATCTTCATTAATGATCTGGAAGAAGGGAGTAAAAAACAGCAGCCTCATCAAATTCACAAATGATACTTAATTGGTAGGGGATGCAAACACCAGTGAGGACAGAGACATTGCAGGGCTAGAAATACAGATAGGAGAAAGATAAAATTATTTGCCATTTGGGAAAATTCCAGCTAATACATATGTAGTTTTTGTGGGTTTCATTAAACCTCAACTAAACTGTTGTGACCTCCACCCTTTATTTAAGACAGCTGTGAGAGACACCTAAGCGGCCTCACCTAAAACAAAGGGGATATATGCCAGCCATCCCAGTAATTTGGACTTTTGTGAGTCAGGGTCTGTGTGAGAGACAGACAGCTTCAGCTGAAGGCCCACAGAGAGGCAGAATCAGATGAGGTGGAAAAAACCCAAGCACACACAGCCTGAAAGGAATGCGTGTGGCCCTAGAAGCAGCCTAGAGAGATGTTATGGGTCAGAATATTGGCTGAAAGAGTTTGGTGCTATGAGCAAGGAAGTGGTCTCCTGTGTTTGGAGAAGCAGGGCTTTGGTATTTTGCTTGATGCAGACTCGATCATCAATTTCTTGTCACTCTAGGAACAGCCTACAGGTCTCCAAACTTTAACTAGCTGGTCATAACAAAAGGAGTAACACAACCATAGGTACAAAATGGGGAGGGAGGAGAAACATGGGAAACTGATGTTGGAAAAGACCTGGTGTAATAGTGGCCAACAAATCAGATATGGATATCGTACTGTATCTGCAATGGAATATGGCAGTAGAAAAGACAAATGCAATTTCAGTCACACACACTTCATCTCTGAACAGGGATGTAATGCTGTAGTCTCTTTCTATAGAACTCTGGTGAGACCACTTCCAGAATACTGGACTCAGTTCAGGATAGTTCCCTTTCCGAGAAATATGGACAAACTGAAGGGAGACTAGGGAAGACAGTAGTTTGAGGGTGGTGATTTGACTTGTGAATTCAAATTAAAATAATATTCTTGGCAAAACAACAGTGTTGATGGGATTGAAGAGACATAGTTACAACTATGTTGATGCTCTCCAAACGTACACATACCATATAAAGGCTACACTTACTGTCTTCCTGGGGTTTGGCTTTATTGGTAACTCAGATAACAGTGACAGAACATGAACCTCACACAAAGCTTTCTCTCCAAGTTTAGGTGTTCCCTAGGGTCTCCCTCTGACAGTCATTCCAACCCCCTCCAATACTCCTAGATTGGTTGTATCTGCTGTAGCCTCAGAAGCAATTACTCTGCATTAGAGCTGGTTGGGAGGGGAAAAAAGAAGGGAAATTTTGCAAGCTTTTCTTTGTGCTTGTGCCACAGACAAAGATTACAGGAGGAGCTGGTAATGACCCTTATATAGTTGCCTAACACTTTCCTTTATAAAAGATTCTTGCAACCTTTTTTTCAGAAGCACAAGTACCTTATTGTGTGCAAAAGGCCTTTGAAATGGGACAGGGGGTAAAAGCCCTCAGGTTAGAGAAGAGTCTTTTCTTTGTCCCATAAATTTCCATCCAGGTTTTGATGAGATATAAACTATTGAAAATCATGATTTACCTACTCACACTTGCATTTCTCAGGAAAATTATTGCAGCATCCAAATAATAAGTGAACATCGATGTTCCAAGGCTAGGCTCATGCTACTACCAAAGCAGCTGTAGCGGGAGGGATGGGAAAAAGTGAGGCAAGATTATCCTTCTCCTGCACCCTCCCTGGCATGGGGCCCCTGGGGTCCAACCCTTCTCTGCAATTACCACCTTCTCCTGCTCATGTATTTAGTTTTGTAGTTCAAATGGCAGAGGTCTATGCTCAGTGCTGAAGGTTCAGGGTTCAAAACACCACGGATGATGCATGGTGGGGGGGACTGTTTCAGTTGTACATAAGAATTCACCTTTTTTCTTAAAACCCTTAGGAAGTTACATACAAAAAGACTACACTGAAAAAATTTTATTTAGGTTGCAAAGCCAAGCACTCAAAAAATTGAAAATGCAAAGTTTAAGGTTGCCTGTGCATTCTGCCTCCTTGTGCATATGCTTTATGATACAATCTTTAATTATACGGCCTCATATGATCTTTTCCACAGGACTTAACTCACTCACTACACAGGATGTATACACAAAGCGGCAGAATACAGGTTGCATGTAATCAGCTCCCGGACGGCACCCCTCACCTCCTGCACCAAATGTAATGGGGCAGAGCAGAGATTGAGAACATGGAAGTATGATGGTAAAATACTCTTTCCACTATTTAATCTACTGCAATTTACGTACACTGGGAACTTTGGAAATGTGGCTAAGAGCAAAGGCTCAAACAGCCTGAAAATAAGTGGGAGGGGGAGAAGAGTAAATATACTTGACACAGCATGCAAAATATTAATAGGTCACTATTCAACTTTTATTTGAACAAGGGTTTCATGTGACAATTGGCAGGGTTTATAATGCAACATAGTTTCTATTAAAGACAGACTAACAAGCTATTTCCATGATTTACTTAGCAAAAACAACGAGGAGTCCTTGTGGCATCTTAGAGACTAACAGATTTATTTGGGCATAAGCTTTCGTTCGTCTCTAAGGTGCCACAAAGACTCCTTGTTGTTTTTGCTGATGCAGACTAACACAGCTACCACTCTGAAACCTGTCATGATTTACTTAGGTATTTCTAATACTACTTAGGATGTCTACATCTGAAATTTGTACTCTTAATGAAATACTTCCTTCCATTCGGTGTATGCTGTTTTGTTGTTGCAGGAGTGGCCACAAATAAGGCTCTGTGGCCCCTACGCTGCACTGGAGTGAGTCTTTGCTGGGGAGACTAGCATAGGTCACAAAACAGGATTGGGGGGCAGGGGAGGGTCTATATTAGTCAGAGCCCTGATTTCTGTGGCAAAAACTGTGACTTACTTTTCTTCCCCATGAAAAGCCGTGCTATTTGTCATCCTTTCCAGCATGACTCCTGCATAAATTTGGATCTATAAATGTACAACGTAGGAGTGTATGGGGTTTTAAATAGTTGCCAACTATTAAATTATTTTTAACAATTTTAATTGTAAAAGATTTGACTTCTCATAATTTCCAATGATAAACAATAATAATAATTTTAAATATTATGTGCCATGTCTCTTCTATTTAAAAAAAATTCATATTTTTTGCCATGCTAAATCCATGAATTTCCCCACTTTTAGTCATGACAGCCAACCAATATTAAACATGAGTTCTAGGATGATAACATTACTAGGAGTGGGGAAAAGGGCAGCAATGAAACACTTGCTTTGGGAGAGAAGGGCAAGCAGTTGGAAGGAATTACAGGAACACTAACAGATAAATAATAACTGATTAATCTTTGGCACCTACTAACCTGAAGCTATCCTTTTAAGAAAGCACTGGAGGAGATATACTGTACCTTGTTCCGATGTCCAGCCAGCTTCCATAATCTTTAACCAAAAAGAAGAAGTGCTGTGAAATAAGAAAATAATGTTGTTTAGTATATAAACATTGCACAACTTGAAAAACAAGACTAAAACCAATGTTTTCAGGTTGTTTACTCCAGGTTTCTAAGTTTTCAAGTGGAACAAGGGCAAGACCTCCAGGAATGTTCATTTGGACTGAACTAAACAAACAGCTAAAGAGGAACAAAGGCTGATTAGGTCTAACAAGATGTGCTGTGAAAAGCACAAAGGATTTCTAATAGAGAGCATTCTTCAAGAGAAGAAGCCCCCAAACAACTTTATTGTTTGGAACAATGGTTCTCAAATTTGGCAGTGACCTCAGAATAGGCTGCACAGCTGTTTTATAGGGACTCTACCACAGAAATCGTGTATGACCTTGGGTAACTCAGTCTCTCTGTGTGCCTCAGTCCTTCATCTGCAAGATGGGAATAATAGTACTTCCCTACCTCACAGGTATGTGTGAGGATAAATTACACTAACAAGTGCAAGATGCTCAGCTACTATGATAACTGAAGCCATATAACTACATAAAATAGATTTTTTTTAAAATTTGTCCTGATTTACAAAACACACTCATAAAGCAAACTGTTGACTTAATTAGGGTAAGCAGATACTCAGCAGGGAGGACAGTGCAACTCATATAATTTTTCATTTTACATATGCACACACATATACACACACAAAATGTTTTTCTATTTTTTGTTTAATATGTGAAATTATCAATTTTATATGGACTGAATGTCAATATTTTCCCACCTATGGCCATGACTAGCAAATTTAAATAATTAACCATTACTATACATTGCATTGTGGGGGATTTGGGTGAAACAGCAAGAAGGATTCTGGGATGGAGCCTAAAGGGACCTGGGATATAGGGTAACAGAAGAAAAAGTGTGTGTCATGTTGGGTCACAGGTAAAAATGTTTGAGAAGCTCTGTTTTACAACACAGAGAATGTGTGTATTTGTCCACTGTGTGATACAGAGATACCTCAGTCCCTCCGACTTTCCCCACCCACACCTACTGTGCTGTCACCCTGTTCCCTACCTTTTACCCCTAAGCAAAATAAGACCCAGGAGAAAAACCAAGATCCTCCCAACTTCCTATGAAGCAACAGAAAAAATCTTGCCCTGCCCCCTTCTTCTTGCTCCCCCTGCCCCACAGAGTGGCTAAAGAGTTTCATCCCGGGGCCTGAGTCACACAGCTACCAAGCCCTGGCTGCCTCGTCTCCCCTTTCCCTACCAGGTAGACAGTCCTGTGTGATGTGTCTTTCCCTAATGACTCTCAGGCTAGAGGAGAAGTTAGGATATGGCAGCATGGAGAAGCGGGTTATGTACTATCAGTGAAGGCGGTGCAAGACTCATCAGAAGCAGGGGTTTAGGGCAGGTAAGGACTAGCTTCGCCTCCCAGTGACCAGAAACCCTCTTTCCCATCTCCCCCACACAACAATCTTTAGTGACCAGCAAAAAACTTCAGCAATTAGCAATTAACCTTAGGTTAAACTAGTTTCTTAAAGATTATTTCAGACAGAAATCAGGGGCAGAAGATTAAAATCAGAGACTCCACCATCTGAAAAGGAGCATTTAAAGCTGGTGGGTTGAATACAGCAAACCTTTAAAAAAATAAACTCAAAAGCTACTTTAAATTTCTAACAACTGTTCATATTTTAAAACCTTTCATGAGAGAGAACAGAATAATGATTCTCAATACTCTCCTTGAAGCGAGGTATTGTGAGGAACTCAATCCATTTAAAGGATCACCCTAAAAATCTGCTGTATTTATAACGCAAGTTTAGCAATTAACTCCTTTTTCAAATAAGTACACCCAACACTTTTGGCTTCTTCTCAGAATTTGGATGCTACCTCTACTAACTGTGTGGTCAAACACCATTCTGAGTATATGCAGACAACTGAACTTGCGCCTGCAAGGTTCACCAAGTAATATCAGAAAGAAAAAATTCCACACAGTTAGTGGCTGCATTAAGTGTTTGGTAAGAATAAGAACCATTATGCATTTCAACTTTATTTTTGTTTCTATAGTCATCTTCTTTGTTTCATATATATACATATAAATACACATAAACACACATCTTTGTTTCATATATACCCCCCCCATAGTCATCTTATATATATATGAAACAAAGAAGATGACTATAGATGATATGTATACACACACACACACAATTCCTGCATGTCAAAACTCTGTAGTTCATTGCATATGCGTATTTTATTAACATTTTAATTCTTTTCCTACTGAAATTATTAAATAAAAAAACAGTTTATAAAAATCTTTATGTGAAAATTAGATAAAAATACTTCTAGGACCCAGCCTGTTTGTCACTCTAAGATCAAACTAGACATTCTGATGTTTTGTACCTCCTATTTCTCTTATATGGTAAAACCTCTTAAACCACACTGCAATGTGAAATGACGTAATACAAACAGCAGGTTGTGTCACTTTGAAGTAAATCTTCCAAAACAGAATGTGGGAAGTGAGAGCAAAAATAGCATAACTCCCTGCCCACTGCTTTGAGCATGTTTACCTTCCAGTCATAATATAATATAGCAATGCATTGCTATTGTCGAAGACACTTTTTAGGGAATTAATTGTGGCATTTAAATTTGTAAAGGTTTTTTTTAAGATGTCTCTATTTAAATGATTTTGATCATGAGTCTACAAGTGGCTGGGGTGAATTTTCCCCACTGCCTCAAACAAAGAATACAATTGCTCTACAAAAGATACTTCTCATATATTTTCCAGCCCTCCGCTGATAATTCTGACAACAGGTTTGAAAAATCAGTTCAGTGTGTGACACATTTCTCTCTCTCTCTCTCTCTCTCTCTCTCGTTTTTTCTTTTTTCTTCTGGCAGCAGGCAAGAAACTGCTGAAAAATTAACTAGACCAGGCACCCAGGTAAATCTGGCATTCCCTCGTGCTCTCATACTGTTAACCTGAACATTTGATTTGAAATACATTAAAAACCAGGAATACTAGCTTTACAACAGCAGAGTGAAAGAAACGAAGTAAAAAAGAATTATGCCTCTTAAGAAGCATTCCTTACATGACATACAAAGCGTGAAGATGGGGATTTTTATCTGTAAATTACACCAGGATTTTGATTCAATTCACTGCCCTAGTTCTGAAAACTTTGAAGTCTGTAACTAATTCAGATATCTCTTGATTGAATTAGCTGAGCACTCTGCTTTCTTGATCTTATTTGCACAGAATGTCCAATAGTAGCTTACCAAAGCCATAATGTCTGAAATCACAAGAACGAGGAGGAAAAGGCTGCAAAAAAAGGAGAGACCATAATTCTTAATTGATAGCCACAGACACAATTACGAAGTTATTAGAATCTCAAGTATAAATATGAATTATTATATATGATATTACTTCTTGCAGTTGGCTTTTTTATTCTTTGAGAGATACGTTTCCAAAGCACTTTGTGGGAAAAGTTAACACACAAAACGGGGCTGATATGCCTAACATGTTTGGAACATATAATTTTATCATGATGCTTTGAAAAGAGACTTATTCATTAATGTAATTACAGTTTCAGAATAGGGTACCCCAAAAGTGAGTTATTTGTCAGCAAACCTGAGTGGCCTGTCAAATGATGACTGCTGCTGATATTTTAAAAGAATATTAAAAACAGTTTAAAAATCATAAAAAGAAAAGGAGTACTTGTGGCACCTTAGAGACTAACCAATTTATTTGAGCATAAGCTTTCGTGAGCTACAGCTCACTTCATCGGATGCATCCAGCTCACGAAAGCTTATGCTCAAATAAATTGGTTAGTCTCTAAGGTGCCACAAGTACTCCTTTTCTTTTTGCGAATACAGACTAACACGGCTGCTACTCTGAAACCTTTAAAAATCATGGCATCTGTAACTGTGTATACTGCGAATGCACAGTGGGTGACATCCACTCCTTACAGCACAAGTTCTATGCACCACTTCAAACCCTCAGAGTAGGAAGGCTTGGAAGCTCCAGAAGGATTCAAGAACAACAAAAATGCTTGAGAGCATAAAATTCTCTTGAATATTCTTCATAAAGAGCTGACCGAATCTGTGCTGACAAACCGGTCTTACTGGGTGGACAGCTGCTAAATGAGATTACGGACAGCTGCTAAATGAGATTACGTGAGCCGCTCCTCCAGCACCTTGACTGACTGAGAGTAAAAGTGCTCCAGAAGTTCCCAAAAGCTTTGGCAGAGTGCTCCTAAATCCCTTGAATGCACAAAAACCCAGGAGTGTGAACCTGCAGTATGTAGAATTACTTTTGGAAATGTAGATTTCAGCAAGTAAAATGACTAAGCGGGAGGAAGTAGAGCTAATAAAGCTTTTTCATTTTCTTAATATTTTACTCTTTACATTAAGTTTTTGAAGTAGTAGATCACATGAAAGCAGTTATTAATGACTGGCTTGTCAGTTAATGGCATTAGAGCAATGCTGCAAAGAGCTGACCCACTAGCAGGCACATCATTAACTGTAATAGTTTAATGTATACAGCATTATCATTATAAAATATAATCAATTTACAATGTGAAACTTCATTAGAAAACATATATCATAGTGCTCTGCAAGCATCAGCTAGCAGGCCCTAAAAACTGATTTATCCCTTTGAGAAAACTGAGTTTAGTGCTATATTTTCTAGCACTGTCTTGATAAACCAATTATGCTTCATTAGTTAATAAAGATGTGGCAAATTCACTATTTTCTGATTCGGCTACAAGCATCTTTTCCATTGGAAACTTCGTATTGATTTAAATAGCCAGCGATGTCACAATCTTGCAATATCTAGCAAGTGCTCAGCTAAGGTACCACATTGATGGGAGATGTAGAAGAGCCCACACAGACAGAATATTCTCATGAAGAGCATGAAGTATGCTTCCTACAGTGAGCAGAGCGATTGAAGGCTATTCATGTGCCTAGCAAAAACCTCGCCTCTTGACAGGTACAAACATACCTACCTGGAAAGCAGCAAGGATTTTACAAAAGAAGAACAGTGCTAATCTCAGTGCTCTCTTTTCAAAAAGATAAAGTTAAAAGAACGCTATTCCGGTTGCAAGTCAAGCCCCTGGAAGTTAAGAAATGCCAGAATTAAGGTTGCCTGTGGAACTTTAATTTGCCCCCTTTGTGCATATGCATTCTGACACAGTCTTTAATTACACGATCACAAGCTATTTTTTTCCATAGAACTTATGTCCCATTAAGTAGGGGGATGGACCTATTTGGGATTATTAGGATTGGGTTATAAAGGGGGCTGTTGCATATCAGAAGTTGGAAAGCATATCGTGAATGAAGCAGGGGGTGGCAGAAAGAGCAAGCATGGTCTCATGGTTCAGGCAATTAACTGCAGATCTGGAGAACTGGATTCTCTCCCTTCCACTGGCACCGAGTTCCTGTGTGAGGCTGGGCAAGTCATGTAAACCCAACTTTTCACAAGTTGTCACTAATTGCATATTCTGCATTTTTTGGTGCCCAACCTGAGACTCTGATGTCTGATTTGCTGAAGTGCGAGCACTCACACCTGCAAATTGAGTAAGTGACACCTGTGCTTTGAGTATATAATTGTAAGTACTCAGAAAAATCATCTCTTTTTTGTCTCAGACTGAGCACTCAAAAGGAGTGGAAATGTTTTACTTTAATAATCGCCATACCTCAGTTCTCCATCTGTAAAATGGGGATAATAATGCCCTCTCACCTTACAGGAGTGTTGCAGAGATTGACTGATTAATGTTTGTGAAGTTACTATATTGATAGGCTCTGCAGAAAAGCCCATGAGGATATTAATAATTCTCTTTTCAGAGCAAGGTTGGAATAATGCGCAGTAAAAAAAAAGGCCTGGGGCGATAAACTGAACAGGCAGGGTCCTATGGAAAAAATACCATATGAAATGCATTTGAAGATTATATCAGAATGCATACACACACGGAGGTGATTAAAGTTGCACATGCAACCTTAACTGTGGTATTTTCTAACTTCCGTGGGCTTGATTTTGAAACCTTACTAGTGTTCTTTTAATGTAGCTTTTTGTGTGTAATTCCTTAGGTTTTTAAGAAAGAAAACTGAAAAAACAATAGCTCCATCATATGGAATCGTATTGACATCCAGATGGGTCATTGGCAGGGTTGGAACCTTTAGATCACAGAGACCTCTATCACTTGAGCTAATGGAGTAACTGATAGTAGTAGGTTGATATCCTCTACGTTAACCAGCACTAAAGTGGGTGAGACATATGGGTTTCATATATATTTGCTGACAGCAGAGGAATGGTGAGACTCAGGAATCTGGATTTCCATTCCAGGCTCTGGAGGGGAGTGCGCTCTAAATTGCTATGCAAGGGCAGAAACAAAATCCATAATGAAAGTGTCTGGTCAAAGACTTGTTTGAGTGCCTTTTTAAAAAAACGCAATTTGCGGTGAGGTCAGTGCTATGAAGTTTTCATTTAGCTGGCTTGTACATTGTTTATTTAAAAATATATTTGTACTATATGGAGAGATGCAATTTAAAACAAGAAATTCTAATTTAAATATTGCTTACTTTTTCTACATTAAGTTTGTTTGTATCTTTTATGTTTTAAATGCAGAAAACGAAATGTTTGATCATTCATACTGGGCCAAACTTTAAAATCCACCATAATTTTTTACTCATTTGTTACTGAGGCAAACTCCCACTGAAGCCTGTGTAAGCAGTGAGCAATGTCATCAGAGGGGCTCATTGGTTAATTTAGTCTGATACCTGATAAATCCAAATTCTTTCAAAGCAAGTGGACTGATGTACAAATGAAGTCTGATTCAGGGTATTTCACACCCTTACTAATTATACTGTTTAGCTGATTTCCACAATCAAACCCACACCACCTACTGCAGTAATATAACATTTGCTATACCTTTTAGAAGATAACTGGGTTGTGACTTGAACAGCTTCAAAAGCACACGACACAAGAACAAAAGGGATTACAATCTGTTTAAAACATAAATTACATTATGGTTTAGAGCAACATTTTTAAAACAGCCTATCAGAACACCATTAATGGTCATGGAAACATTTTCCTCCTTTTCAAATTGCCATTATGGGAAGCTTCATTGTAGCACACGTAAAAAATAAAATACTGGCAAACAAAGGGTGAAAACTCATTTGGCAGAGAATATACTTAGTAAACTGATACAAAATCTATGGCCATGGCCTACCTGAAGTGAAAAACTATGAGGCACCATGCAACTAAATGATTAAAACATATTAATTATCCTTGTTTCAGCTGATCCAGTCTAGCATTGATGATAAATATTTGAGCAACGCTGTAACACACAGAATTTGCAATACTTTACATGGTAGTTCCTGGAACTTCCAGTGTGAAAGGATGATTTCAGCCTACGCACAAAATGCCTGGATGTGGCAAATACTGAGCCAAACAAAGAATAAATACTCCACTCACTGTCCTCCAAGAGGACACAACTAAGCCAACCTGCACAACTTAAATAAATAAATAAATTTTAAAAAAACACCTCTCAAATATGTGCACTGCATTTTTTTTAGAACTGATCCACACTTCTTTAAGGCTAGAAGTACACAAAGAATCCACCTTCTAAAGACTGAACCTGCCATTTCCCAGCTCCTGCCTTACAGCTGTTGGAAAGTACAGGTTGGGATGCAGATGTGGTCACATCTGGGGCAGAAAGGCAGCTTCAGTTCTGCTAATGGTAAATATTGCCCAGCATCCAGCAGGTTTGGATTCAACAAAGCCCTGGAGCAGACACTGGTTGCTCCTCCAACCAACTTTTCTTCTTGGGAAAAGAGGTGGCGGGGTGAACATATCACTTACTTTAGGCGTAATCTAGCAGCAGGTTGTCTGCACTGCTGTCCCTTAGTGCTGTCTAATGATTTCTGCCCTAGATATCATCAGAGAAGCACTCCTAAACCTTATCTTCAAACAGGGAATGACAGCATGGGCAGGGAAATGGGAAATCCAGTCTTTAAAAGACTATTTAATTTGTTTATTTTAAAAAATCAGATAGAGTAAAGTTTGCAAAAATGACAACAGTAAAAAAAAAAAATCAAGACATTTCTATTTAATACAATCTAGATGGATGGAGATAATAAAATATATATTTCCCCTGCTTTCATTTGTGTATTATGAACAATGGGAAAACCCTTAATGTTTTAACTTATTTAACAACATCTTTTCAATGCTTAAAATTCCTATTTAAATATAATAAAATATATTTCTCATGAGTCAGTCATGTATTCTGTATACTGAAGTCAAACACCCTTTACAGGTTTTATTTTCAGAAATTCTGTAGAAACAGATAGTTGCAGACAGGATAAAATGGGTTAATGAATCTCAAAAACATATATATTCTGTAAATTGAAAAAGAATTCCTGCATGCATGATGTATTACTCATTAATCCATTCTTTGAGAGAACTGCACAAAGATGCAATCACTAACCTTCCACACCAGCAAGCTTCCCATTATAAACGGATTGAACACAGTCAGGAAGCAATAGACAGAAGCAGGGTCAAAACTAGAGAACCATGAAAATAATAAAATAAAAATTATTAAAATGTATCTTTGCAAACAGTATTTTCTATAAAAAAGCAGAACATTTCATTTTTCCTGCTCATGAGACGTTTTAGATTTTGTTCAAAATATGAGCATGAAAGCCACTATTGTTCAAGTACTATTGTCCAAGCCCAAGTACAGTGTTACTTAGAAAAAACTGAGATACATAGACTTTCTCTGTGATTATTTACAGCCCAATTCTTCAAGGTGCAGAGCTCTTCCTCAGGACTGAGTGCTCTCAACACTGACTAACAACAACTAAAAGTAGGAGTTAAGGCAACTCAGTATCTTGCAGGACTGGTCCCTTACACCAAATACCATAGAAAATAATACTTAAATACAACCACCACTAGATTATTACACTATTCTTATTATTTTGCTTATGTTGGACTGTTTTGTTAGGCGTGTGGTATTTGAGTATTTTTTGCACTGTCTTCTCTTTTGCACTCAACGTCTCTCGACAGCATTAATAAGATTTACCTGTTAACAGAAGCTATATTTCCAGTACCAAAAAAAGCCGTCATGATGAAGAAAACCTAAACATAGCTAAGGAAAATCCAACACAAAAGTTACATAAAAGATCAAATAAAAACAACATGCTGAAAATTTTGCTTTAACTATCTGTCAATCCAGCACTATGAGAATCTCATTTACTATTGTTATAGTTTTACATTACTTTTAAAAGTATGAAATCAGATATCCTTGCCTGACTGATTTTTCAGATTCTGACTTTAAGCCAATTCTGATAGAGGGGAGCCCATGTGAAAATCAGGTTAATGACCGGTCTGCCTCAAAACCTGTCTGAGAGACCTAGGGACTCAGCTTTTTTTCTTGTTCAACTTGTGGAGTGGATATACTTCTTCATAACAATACAGTCACACATTCAAACTGTCATAAATATAAAGGGAAGGGTAAACCCCTTTGAAATCCTTCCTGGCCAGGGGAAAGCTCCTCTCACCTGTAAAGGGTTAAGAAGCTAAAGGTAACCTCGCTGGCACCTGACCAAAATGACCAATGAGGAGACAAGATACTTTCAAAAGCTGGGAGGAGGGAGAGAAACAAAGGGTCTGTCTGTCTATATGCTAGTCTTTGTCGGGGATAGACCAGGAATGGAGTCTTAGAACTTTTAGTAAGTAATCTAGCTAGGTATGTGTTAGATTATGATTTCTTTAAATGGCTGAGAAAAGAATTGTGCTGAATAGAATAACTATTTCTGTCTGTGTATCTTTTTTGTAACTTAAGGTTTTGCCTAGAGGGGTTCTCTATGTTTTTGATTCTAATTACCCTGTAAGATATCTACCATCCTGATTTTACAGGGGGGATTACTTTATTTCTATTTACTTCTATTTTTATTAAAAGTCTTCTTGTAAGAAAACTGAATGCTTTTTCATTGTTCTCAGATCCAAGGGTTTGGGTCTGTGGTCACCTATGCAAATTGGTGAGACTTTTTATCCAACATTTCCCAGGAAAGGGGGGGTGCAAGTGTTGGGAGGATTGTTCATTGTTCTTAAGATCCAAGGGTCTGGGTCTGTAGTCACCTAGGCAAATTGGTGAGGCTTTTTACCAAACCTTGTCCAGGAAGTGGGGTGCAAGGTTTTGGGAAGTATTTTGGGGGGAAAGATGCGTCCAAACAGCTCTTCCCCAGTAACCAGTATTAGTTTGGTGGTGGTAGCGGCCAGTCCAAGGACAACGGGTGGAATATTTTGTACCTTGGGGAAGTTTTGACCTAAGCTGGTAAAGATAAGCTTAGGAGGTTTTTCATGCAGGTCCCCACATCTGTACCCTAGAGTTCAGAGTGGGGGAGGAACCTTGACACAAACATATGCACTTTTGTACACTTTAATGTGAGCGCGGTCCATCTATCAACGTATACACATTTGTCTTTGTCGGGGAATTAGCTGTGGTTGTTGGTCTTAAAAATAAGACTAAATATTGCCAGCCTACCCTCCCACACTCTCATTGTCCAAACAGCACAGCCCATCCATTATCCCATTGCTGCCCCTTATCTGCCCTTCTTCCTTGCTGCACATTCCACAAATATAGAGACAAGAGAAGAGGGGACAAAACCCTGATCTGATGGAATCTGTGTATCTAAAAGGGTCTAAAGCATATTCTTTTCACAAAGGTAAAATCTGGCTGCTATACAACCCCATGGAAGGGGGAGGATGGAAGGCTTCTACCTCCCCTCAGTGGTGAGGCCAAGGGCCTATATTAGTCTCTCCTACCTCTTTAATCTGGCCACAGTTCCAGCAACTCCTCCCCCTACTGTGAAGTGGGAAGGTAATGAAAAGGGACTCCTGCCTCCAGAGTTCCCTGGGGGAGAAGGCAGGGGCTGGCATGGCCTCTCCTGACCTTTTCATTCCTGTCATGGAGTATTTAAATATCTCAGTATAAAAAGTTCAATATTAACTATTCAATAGGGTCTTCAAGAATTTGCAAGCAAATTTTTGAAAGGAATATGTGATCACAAATAAAGAAATTCCTAGCATCTACCTCCCAACAGAATCACACTGTTTCAGGTTTAGTAATCTAACAGTCTAACAATATTGTAAAATTCTTCCAGGTCAGATTTATAACAGCTACAATTCTCTAATAAAACAGGAAACAGCCCAATGGGCTGGGTTGCCACCTAATCAAGATGCTAAGCATATGCAATCTGAATCTCCTTTTGGAAGATCAGGCTAACAAAGGCCTAAGGCTCCTCAATATAGGCCAACTCTCAAGCCCTAATTGGGAATCTTGGCATGTTCTTTTAATTTAAAATAGTTTCATGGTAGCAATATTACAGTTCAAGTTAAGAAGTCATTTCCTTCTTCACCACTTTATAGTCATTAATAATATTCTAAACTAAAAAAAACCAAAAAACCTTTTGAGCTGAAATTCATTGTACTTGCTCTCAATAAACAGGTGAACATTTTATTGAAACTGAATAAAATATATTCAGTTCGTTTAGTGTGCCCAAGGAAATACTACATTTGAGCTTTAAAAACTGTTCAATTTTTTTTTTTGCTTAATCAAAGAAAAACTGATTTTTAAATTTTCAAATATTGCATGAGGCCAGTGCTAAATACCCCATTAATTTTGCGAAATTTTAAATGTTTTGTTAAGAAATAGCAAAGCTGTAAATGAAAAAGATAAGCTTACTGTACAGTAAATAAAGTTGCTTTTAAGGTACCCACCTAAATCATATTCAGGTTCAGGATGCTCTCTGAACCCAGAAAACCATTTGCTCACTCTTTCCTTAGCTCTGATTTTCCTCCAGAAGGACAGCATCTGACCTCCTGGACTTTCTTCTGGGCCCCTGAGGTTCTACAACAGTGGCGCTCAAGAGCTGTACACAAGTTATGCATGGGGCGTACCACTGGCAGCGGAGAGGAGGAGCAGCACTGGCCGCCCCACTGCTCCTCAGGTTTGGTCCCGCCAGTCCTCCAGTGTGACAGGGGAGCTGCAGGGCCAAACCAGAGCAGTGTTGTGAGCCCCCCATGCGTGGAGGCCACAATACTCAGTTTTGGCCCCACAGCCCCTTTGTCACAACAGAGGAGCTACAGGGCCAAATCTGAGTGGGCACACCGGGCAATGGGGCCGCCAACACCACCCCTCCTCACCACCAGCTCCCTCACGGTGGCCTGCCCAGACTTGCCCCACTTCCAGCGGCCCATGGCCCTCTCAGAGATAGGAAGTGATACTACATTTTTCAGGTCAAGCTGGAAGGCAGGGGTTGAGCATTTGGTAGCAAGGTGCAGGTTCAGCAGCTGCTGCAGGGATGGCTCCACAGGGATTGATGGTGTGTACAATGGGAAACATTTGTTTTGGGGCACTCCATTCTACGAATTCAAACTTTGTATGCTTTGGGATTTTGGTTCACCCTGCTCAGACTGGTGCCTACTACGAAAGCACTGTGTACTCTGTAGAGCACAAACCAAAAGCTCAGGAGACAGGCTGCCAAACTTGCCAGGTTCCTTCTTATGTTATAAAACGTATGGGAGGTCCTAACTCTCTCTTTCCTCCTCCCTCAGCCCGACCCACTACGATAAACCTATTTCCCCACTGACCCCATGCTAATTCTTCCTAAAAAACCCTCTAATCTTTCTTGTAATTCACAAACTCACTACTCTGGCTGCCAAATCTCCCTTACCTACCCTCAGCCCAGTGACAATCGTATCACTCTCTCCCAGCTACCCAGCTTTCATGATAAAGAAAGAGGAAGGGGATTATTAGAAACAATTTAGTTTTAGGAATGTTTAGTGTCTGAAGGATCCAGCCCTATGTTTGCTTATCATCCCATCCACGAGGGTCAACTTGTGTCCTATAATATTTTAACGTTAAATATAAATATAATATAATATAATATAAAAACAGGAATAATTTTAGCATAACCTTTCTCAAGGGACAAAGAAAGGAGTTCCAGGTGGGCAGTTTGAACCGGCTTGTGCATCAGCAGATCAACCAAAAGATTAGCCTGGTATTTAGAACAAAGGCCTTTAAAAGAAATCCTTCTTTTACAAGAAAAGACGTTCTAAAAATCTTTAAAAGAGGCTGTTTGTGTATAAATTCAGCAGTAACCCAAGCAAGTACAGTACATTCTGAAATTCACCATTGTGCCACTGGCCAATCTTTTCACTGGAAGCTAAATTACTGTGTCATAATCACTGCTTTCCAAACAAGGCAAAAGGATACAAAGAAAAAAGACCTGCGGATGTCATCCAGGTGGAGTTGCCGAAACTGAGTTATATCAGTAGAGCAGGAGAAGTTGAGAACAGCAAGCTGTGAAGATAGCAAGAAGAAATCAATACATGATGTCAGGTGGTTCACTTTGATACTAAGAATATATTTTAGTGGATTCTGTGAGGAATTAACTCACTTCCCCATCAACAAACAGATCCATTTGTGATGAAGCTTGTAAACTTTTCCTATACTTTAATGGGTCTGCCACAAAGATATTGTATAAGTAGAGTGATCATTAATCAAATGAACCCAGCAGAGCTTCTCATGCTGTCTTCGGTAAGAAACAACTCCCCTACCTTTGGTTTACTATTTTGATCTGTTTTCTTTTCCCCTGCCCCAAGTGTTGGTGTTTTTTTAAAAATACATTTTCACTGCCCACAAAAACAGGTAGATAAAGATCTCCTACTATAAAGACTGCAATTATCCTCAAGGTGAGGTATGGTGTGAATGAGGATACTGAAAGATTCTTCAGCTTCTCTACTCTGCTCTGGACATGACACCTCTTGACCCCGGGGAGAAATTGTCTTTAGAGTTTAAGACAGCAATGAACTTCTTTTCATTGGAAAAAGCAAAATCCCATGTGGTGGATCTGAAATACAGACCACATATTGCTTAAAAATAGTCTCACATCAGCAGAGACCTGAGTGGATTCCTAAATGCAGGACTTTTTGGCAGACATTAAAGTGGGGCTCTTGAGGTGTAGTGTAGTACAGTACAGCTGTTCTTGTTTTTGTTTGAAGAAGACTAGAAAAATAAAGTGAAAGAATTCTTCTCACTGAAAGCAAGACAAAGGTCACAAAATGTAAAGGAAAAATGATAATGCTACCGAATCACAGCCTCAAACTTGCATATATTCTTTTCATTCATAGTCGATTCATATGGTCTCATAAGCAGAACCCAAACCATGCATCTTTCACATTGTGCTTGGATTTCTACTATTTAAGATTTAAGGAAACAGGCCCAAGTGATACATATAAGCCTCACCTTGTTAAGTTATGTAAACAAATGACAATATTCACCATTTGCATTTCTAATACTCTGCCTTGTATCAATAAATGTTGTATCTGAAGTTTTAAAATTGCATCCCTGCAGGTAAAAAAAATACAGTAATTGCCAGATCAGCATTTGTGAATGCTTCTGCCTCAATTTTACCCTCTGACTTTTCTCCCTGACTAAGGCATTATTAATCTCTGAAATCTGCTATCCCAGTTTGTAGCTCAACATGGTATCAATATGCCACTGGGTTGACTACATATAAACTACAAAAGCAGTGAAGGCTCAGAACTGTAGCTTCCCCTCTACATAACTCTGGCAAATTCCAAAGCATCCTTGCCATTGATTCTCTATAATTATCATCAGTGACTATGGATTCCTGGGAAATAGGGAGGGCATGGTATTATATCTCCTGCCCAGCTCAGAATGGCTGGAGAGCTCTGTAATAGGCATTTTGGTTCTAACCAATTCAAGGGCACAACAGCAGCTTAGACTAAGAGTGGAATCGCGATGTGATCATGGGTTCAGAGCATCACTGACATAATAAATCTCAAAGACAAGGAAATTATATTGATACATAGTGTAAACCCCTTCTGAGGGAAAAATCCAAGAATTTGCTAGCATAAATTCAGTTAGCAGCACCCTGTCTGCCTGATCAGAAATAAAAGACCACACTGATAAGAAAGACAGGCAGGCAGAAATTAAATGACTCTACAGATATTTCCTTTGGGTAATTTCAGAAATCAAATGACTATTTCTTTTCAGCCTCCATCACCAATACTCCTGTGCTAGTCATTTTATTTATTTAGAATTTCCCATCTTTAAAACAGACAGTAACGTTATACTTATCCTGGGAAGGACTTTCACTCCTTATTTTGAATTAGCATTAAACTCAATGGTCCCATCTCTAACCTACAGAATATACTGCTTCAGTCACATTGATTTCCTGTGGTCTTAGAAATAACTCTAATATGGAATATATCAAATAAAATATTTTATAAATCTCTTTTACATTTTCTTATGAGATGGGCACCTGATATAGGCTTTCCATACTCAAAGAATATGTACTTGAGCTTTGCTACAAACTATTCAACAGAAACTACTAAAGATATTTTAAAAATCTAGTGAGTCTGGAAGAAAAACCATGATGAAACTGAACTACTGCCATCACTGGGCAATCACTTCATACTTTTCTAGTGGAGCAGTTTTTTGATAATGAATCAAGAGTAACTGTCTTGAAATGCTACCTTTGTTTTAAGTGAATCGCCATAGTACTGTAATGCTTCTTTTTCCATGTATATCCAAGCAAACATCAACCCAGACAATACCAGTGGAAAGAGAGCTTCATATCTGAATAAAATGATTAACATAATATTACATATATACATACAATCATAAGCATAACGTATTCAATTATACAAATAATGCATGTTCTTTGAGATTGACTCCCTGTTAATCTGAACTATATCATGTCAGAGACCTATAAAATACTTTAATTTTGTCTGAGGGGAATGTGCGGTGGGAATTTAAAGTTGCTGGGGTCGAATGGCTGGAGATCAATTGACGTGCAGTAAGATGGGAGGAAGACGTTAACTTGCTTTGGACAGTTTGTTTTGCAACTTCTATGTTATTATGTTTTTAAATGTATGTCAGGGCTTCAGATGGGCACCCTTTGGTATGGACTTTCTTTAGAAAGAAATTGAAAGAACACAAATAGAAAAACATTTCTCTTCTTTTTAAAGGTTTGGATGGTATCTCTGTTGTTCGCTAAGACTCTAGAATCCTCAAACTGTCTTAAAAGCTACCCTCCACTACCTAGTAACTCTGATCCTTTATAGGTGCAAGTGAGTTTTTGAGCACCCTGAATTGTTGAGATTCCATCTAGGGGTACAAGGACTATTTCTAACTTCAATCCAGAATTGTTTAGAGGATGTGCCACAACTTTCTCTACACTAGAGAAGGTTTAACCACCGTCCTTTTTATAAGGAGGCATGACATTACACGAACGTTGTTTTTTGCTCCTTTGTTTTGTAGTTGTAGGATTTAGGGCTGTCTACACACAAACTTGCAACAAAATAACAAAAGATGTAAATTAAATCCAATTTAGTTATGTCGGTCCAACTTTGTACGTATACACATCCTACAACCCACTGCCTGAGGGGTGTTGGAGATATAAAGTGCATGTAATCTAAGAGAATTATCAGACATTTTATGTAGTTCATTCAAAAGGTAAAAAATGTGGATTTTACTAGGGAACAAACTTTCCATCTTTATAAGAACATTCACAGATTTAGTAACTTTTTCACATTCAACACTTAAAATGTTTTATTAGAACAAGATGCACCAAGCTGTAATTAAAAAGGAAGTACCCTGTGCTGAGGAGCAAGTAGGGTGACATCAAAGAGAGAAGTATGCTAAGCAGTCGCTGGAAGAAAAACGTGGGACTCAGTAATGGCACAAACAAGGATGAGGCTGTAACAAACAAACAGAGAACCATATGTCATTAACACAAGAATAAGAGATGTATTATCCTATTTACACTACAAAGACAAAAACGTCACACCTTTCAAATATTATGTATGGAGGTTCAAGCCAGATCATATTTGCCCTGGTTTGTTTTCTGGAGTTACTTTTGCTAAATAATTTAAGTAATTTATCATTTAAATTATTTAGTTTTTCTTAACATTTACTAAAGTAACTCTGTATTCTCTATCATATTAATTGTTGAAGATATTGTCAAATTTTGAAAATGCTATTGAAAACATTTTATATATGAAATAATATCAATTTTCAGTGTTGAATGAGCAAAAATTGGAATATTTAAAGAAGCTACTGGTGGCAGATGGGAAACCGTAATGAACAAGCCTCTCCCTTTTTGGGACCTGGGTTAATACCAAAATTATTTCACTAGTGAATCAAGTGACTTTCTTCAACCAAGTGTCGACTTTCAGCTTTGCATCATCACTTGTGGGATTCTACGCGTAAGGCAGGTTCTGAACAGGAAGAAAGAGCAGGGGCACTGCAGGTCAGGACTGCAGTAAGGAAGTGAGCATGGCACCTGCCCTCATTTTGCCCCTCTCATGTGATTACTCCCATTCATGGTTTTACAATGTTAGGAGAGATTCCTTTCCCTACCATGGATGGTACTGAATGATTACTTGGCAGACTATGGTTTTTATCACATCTCTGAAGCATCAAATCAAGTATTATCATTGATGGTGTGACAATGAGAGTCCAGACACTCCCAAGGGGAGAACTGAAAAATTTAAACCCCAGAATAAGTAGTTACACCAACTGACTGAATACGGTATTATTGTATTATAAAACTATACCAAGTAAGGTCTTTTATGAAAAGCTTGTAATTCGCTGAAGTTAACCGTCATTATGAGATCCATATACAGGTTATGGTTATGAATATATGTGTATATATAGGTTTCAGAGTAACAGCCGTGTTAGTCTGTATTCGCAAAAAGAAAAGGAGTACTTGTGGCACCTTAGAGACTAACCAATTTATTTGAGCATGAGCTTTCGTAAAGCTCATGCTCAAATAAATTGGTTAGTCTCTAAGGTGCCACAAGTACTCCTTTTCTTTTTGTATATATATAGAAAATTGTAATTGTGGTGCAACTTCAGCATATGTTGACTGAGACAATTGCTAGGCGCTTGAATCCAGTCTTTTCTGGTTGGGGAGGTAGTTCTTCACTGCCTACCTCCCCAACCAGAAGAGACTGGATTCAAGTGCCCATCCATTGTCCAGCCAAAAAAAAGCAAAACAAATAGGAACAGCTTGAATCTATGCTGACAGGAGGGCGCCTCCCATTGGCTTACGTAATACACCTCCCTGAGAGGCGGCAGCTAGGTCAATGAAATAATTCTTCCATCAACGTAGTGTTGCCTACAGAGGGACTGAGGTCAGTTTAACTATGCTGCTCAGAGATGTGGATTATTCACAATATTATGTTTCTGCTGAAATAGTCAACACATCTGTAGTACAGGATATGGAAGAATTTTTGTACAACTAGCTTTACTTTTGTCATATAGCCACCCACTCCACAATCATCATCCTCTAGGCACATGAGCAGAAGCAATTTCTAGCATGTCTTACCTTGTAATTCTAATCATCTACCCTCCTCTACCCAACTCGCTTCCAAATTAAAAATATTGTTCTCTCACTTGCTACTGTGGGTAAAATTCACACACAAAAGGGAAAACTAGCTAAGACTCCAGTCCTGCACTGAGATTGGTGCAGGTGGACCCCAATGACTTCAAAGGTTTTCTTCACTGGTGGTGATTTGCCCACACAAAACTCACAACAGAATTGGGGCCTAATTTACAATACAAGATAAACAGGAGAAAGGATGATAGTATTGTAAAATGCTCAAAAGAAAACTGAAAAGAATGAGAAAAGCATGTTTTCCCTAATAATGTTCAGTTGTACTAATCTTAGGTATTACTGTAGACTATTAGGTACATAATGTTCAGACAGAAGCATGATTGTTAAAATTGAAAGTGTCTCTTTAAGATATAGCAATTCCACCAGTATAAAAATGCATACAGCATGTAAAACATCAAATAACCAGATAACAAAGGTCAAAACACTAGTCATAAACAAAGGTTACATTTTTGGTTTTGAGTTTTAGCAGAAAATTGATATCAAGCCTTAAATGGGATATATTTACTTCTGAAACAAATCCCTACATTCCTAGATTACTATAGTCATGGATAAAGATAATTTTTGAGTCAGCCTCTACAGAACATCTACAAATGCCTAAAATCCATTGGGAGATTACTACAGAGATTACTTTTATAACAGAAAGACTGATGGTTTCATGTTACTATATTTCACAGTATCAATAAGTACAACTGCTTACGGTAATCATAGGTTCTTAATGTTAGGATCATATGAAAATCCACAGAGTTCTATGCTGTTTGCTCCTTTAATAATGATATTAAGGCTTTAACAGATGTTTAACATATACTACTATCAGACCACAAATATTTTCTGAGGCAGTTTTGAACAGTTCTACCACACACTCACGGATGCACCTAATTGTCTTTGCTGTTATGTTTCAGTAAAAATTGAAACCACAGCTGATGCAAATAATTTTCCTGAAACGACATTGTACCACTTTGCTTTATTAACTGTTTTGCATGTATACTGTCTTAGATTGCTTTTCCCTGGCTACAAGTATAAAAAAAAAAAATCTGTGTAATTAATTTTTAAAAAAGGCATACAGAGCTCTGCAAAACTTTCATAAAATAAAAATTACTTATAACTCAAGGTTTTCCACATTTCATTATGAACTTAAACATGAGCCATTTTTGTAGAACATTTTATTGTTTCATATTTCCCAGAGAAAATGTAACCAATTTTTAAAATAAAAACAGGCCTAGATTTTGAGCAAGAATTACTTTTGAGCTACATAAATTTAAAGTATGGTGTTGTCAAAATTAGTTATAAAACAAAATTTAAAAAACTGTGCAAAATTACATGAAAAAAGTTAGTGCAAAGATCATGGGAAAAAAATCTCTTCTCCTTTTCCTGAAAGTTATCTGTAAACTGGATCTGGATAGAAGGTCTCCTTACCTAGTGTTGTCCAACTAATGATTTGATTAATTACAGGCAGTCCCTGCTTATGATGAAGACTGTTGTGGGTACTGTTCACAACATATGTTGAAAGTGCTATGTTCAGCATCTAAAAGGAAAAAAAAATTCAGACTAATAAAAACAGACAGTTAATCTGGTGGGTTCTCCTAAACTAAATGAAGACTATGTAAACTGTTGTTTCACACTTGCATAACTGCCTCGCCTAGATCAAACCGAATCATTATAAGAAAAGGGAGGAGGGAGCGTATGAGAGCAAGATAGATTTAAATATGAAATATTAAAATAAAGATTTATAACAGAGGTACCTTTTGTGTTCTTATCTTTATAGATCCGAGAAGTACTTACAGTGGATCATCAAGCAAGAGTATTTAGCACATTGTTTTATACTCAGTTCTAATGAGTCCTTAACGTTTGTCCTTACCTCTGCCCTATAAATCTTGGGCTTTCATTCTAATTACAAAAAAAATGGCTCTACTTATCTCTTGCATTCAAAGTCTACTAAGCCATCAGTTTCCCCTGTTGACATTTAGTTTTAGTTGGGTGTATATAAAAAGCTATAAAAGTGGATGGAGGAGTCCTGCCGTGCTGAAGGTGGGATTCATTTTTAATCTACTCCCCCCCCAAGCACCACCAGCAAACATCAGGATGGGAAATGCAAAGAGAGAAGGAACTACTAGGATACAAGAGGTTAATTTCTTGAACTGTCTATTCTTTAAAGATTGGTGTCCTTTGATTTGCTGTCAGATAGCTATAAAATAACACAAGAAAACTCCTCTATGACCTAACTAAAGATGGCTGTGTTACTTTGGAGCAAGACAACAATGAACCAAAGAAATCATTCCAACTAGAATTTCATTTATTATTATATAGTAGCAATATTGTGGTAGTGCTAAAAGGCAAAATCAGGTTCAGCAACACAGTGCTAGGCGTTTTACAAACAATATGAGATTTAAATGATATTAAGACAAGTGAAAGAGAGACAGGTGACCAGACAGCAAGTGTGAAAAATCGGGACCGGGGGGGGGGGGGTGGAAGGTAAAAGGAGGTATAAGAAATATAAGGAGGTATAAGAAAAAACCAAAAATCAGGATTGTCCCTATAAAATTGGGACATCTGGTCACCCTAAAGAGAGATGCTAATTATTAGGCCACAGTATTGCTTATTGTTCCTTGCCGTATGTACTCTTTGAATATCTGCCATTCACAAGCCATACACAGTGACATCTAGTGGTAATTGCAAAAATTTCATGCTTCATAATAGGGAATTTTTATGCCCTGATTTTCATAAGTGCAGAACATCTGCAGGACCTATTTACTTTCATCATGTTTAAATCAGGCCATAAGAGTATACAAGAGATATTTCTGCATACATCTGTACCGGCTAGTAATAAGTGGTAGACCTCAAAAGGCTCAGAGGATCATCTCAGTCAAGCATCCATACATTGGAAAACATTTGCAGGATTTAGAGCAGCTTGATAACCTCCCTTCCCTTTAATATTCTTCTTGGAAAATAATTTTGTGCTCTAGGGATCTGGCTGCCTTTCAGCTATGCCCTACTCACTGGTGAAATCAAATCATACCCACTAAGGGATAATCCCCAGAGAGTACACTTCACACCTCTGTAGTGACCTGAGCAAGTGAGTAAACCTGCCAAAATGGTGTCAAAGTGGCATCAAAGCTTCTGGGAATACCTAATTCTGGAGACATAAAAGAGTTCAGGCTCGTTGCAGTTTTCATTAAAAAAAAAAAAAAAGTTTCCAGCACTTGTGAAGACAACTTTGAAAATGTAAACCCAGAGCTAGAGTTGAAAAGCTTGTCCTTGATTATTCCTAAAGCTCACAGGTTATTCATGATCCCAGCCCCTACAGCTGCTCAGGGCTGGCCTTTGGGGTCTGTGAAAAACACAGCCACGATCTCAGCTTCTGAGAGGATACCAGACCAATTTAGGGGTAAAGAAGTTAGTACCTGAGCTACTACTATTGGTGCCCCTCCCAGTCAGCAACTGAGGCAGTTTGTCTGCTAAGCAACCAACATGATCTATAGCCACAAGGAAAGAGAATGGTGCAAAAGAGAGCATGGAGTAAGCCTAAGACTGGTAGCTAAGAATTCCTGTGTTCTAAGCCAGCATTGACAATGACTTCTATTGTGGCCTTAATCAAGTCACAGTCTTCGTTAATTTCCCCATCTGTAAAATGATATTAATAGTTTACCCTTTTCACAGGGAATGTGATACCTTCACATCCACATGAAAATCAGGTCTCTTAGGAGCCATAACTGAGCCCCATGTTAGTAACAAATGGACAAAACAGCTTCCTGTACTACACTGGCTTCTGTATACAAATCTGCTGTGACACCTCTGTGATTAATTTAAACTAATGTGCACTCCAGTTAGAGAATTTTAAGAGATTCAGTAAACACTGTATAGTTGGCAAACAATAAGCATCCCACATTTTTTCCCATTCCTGAAGTCTTATGATTATCGATTTTTTAAACACAAAATCGAATTAAAAAAAGACAATAATCTCTATATTGAACAAAGTGCAACTAAAAATGAAATTTATGGTCTAACACCATCAACAGCAAACCCTTGTTTGCAGTTTTTATCCTTATAGGGAGTAATTAGTACTTTATAGCTCAAATGAACAGTGAATTGTGTAAGCCGGAGAATTAGGTCTAAAACTGAAGTCAATCCAGGAATAGGGCTCAGGAGTCGAACAAAGGGTCTATCTTTGAGAATTATCCTGCTGCCAGAAGGGAAGGAGTGGGCTGACAGCAAGGATGCTGCTGGATATAAATACATGCTGTCACTGTTTTTACCTACCCTGAGACTCCTGCTGCCAGATTGCAGAAAAGCTGATAGCAGCTTCCCCCAGTGAACCTATTGACATAGGTGGCACCAAGCCTCCACATGGATCTTTCTGCCACCCCACCACTCCAAAGATCCTAGCTGACAAAAGGTCGAGCAGTTCACCAGTAGACTCCTTATCCCTCAAAAATCCATGCTGTTTGCAGGCATGGAAGGCTACAAGTGCCTAAGCTCACAGCACCTCAAAAATCTAAATGGTAAGGGAAGAAATGTGCCATAAGACAAAGCCAGACTGCAGGGTCCTATATCAAAGTGCCAACCTAAACAGAGGAAGGGAAATGGTCACAGTGGCAGCATCTGCAGTAAACAGTGGACTAAGAAGATAGGATGTACTGGAATGGGAAACGAGTGGGAAGATATTCGAATCTCCAGTCCCCCACCTTAATAAAGAAGGCTGATCCCCTAAGATTTCTTCAGTCTGCGCACTCTCTACCCAAATGCCATAATTCATGAAAGTATACAAGAATCATGAAGTTCCAAAACTCATCCACTAAGGCTGGGTATCCTTCTGACAAAGAAAGGGCAACTAACCGGATATAATAAGCCTTGATCCTCTCCAGATATGTTACCTCAGCTTTCAAGATGCTAGTCCTGATCCACTTGGGCAAGTCAGTTCTATGACATACTGTAATGATTGGTTCCTATGTAGAAAAGCTTTAAAGGTCCTACAGAAGTATAAATTATGCTCAATCTTTCATTTGGGTTATGGCACACACTGGGAGGGAAGACATCCTCATTCAGATGAAATTTCAAAACAACCTGCAGCAGTAAGCTCAAGCAAATAAAAAGATCTGCCATGCCCTTGTGGAGAGCATTATAGGGTTCCTGGCATGAAAGAGCAGTTGTCTTAACCAAATGACAGGCAGAAGTAATCACCACAAGAAATTTTAAGTCAGTTGAAGTCAAAAGACTCAAAATGGGCTGCACATAGCCTCTAGCTCCTGTTCTTCCAGCAAAACTGTCACCTAAGAGAAAGAGGCAAAGGATGAGTGACAGGATTTAGGGCACCCAGACTAGGAAAACAGGACCAGGAGAGGAGAAGCCGTTGTCTCTGACAGATCCACCTGAACAGAAGCAGGAACGTGCTCCAAGAAGCTGGAAGCTACTATTGAGCTTGTGCAGTTTGGAGACGATATAGGAAGAGGTACTTTGGAGCCCAGAGTGACGGAGGTGTGTCTTCAAGATTCTGTGCAGAGGGGTGAACAGGTAAAGCTGTTTCTCATGTTCCAGGAACACTAGCAGTATTCTGAAATGCTTTTTCCTTTTGAGCGCCTACAGCTTCATAGCAACTAATACATTTTTAACAATGAAGAAAGATTTGTGAAAGTCTGTTCGAGGCCTCTGCAATTTACTTTTCCAAATCCAAATCTGAATTAATCTCTCCTTTCTCACACTCTGAGGAAGAATGAAGGAATGAGAACCATGGACTTGGTCCCTCCTGCCTTTGGAGAGAGACTGGGGAGATTTTGAAGTAAGATCTAATGGAGACTACTGATTAGTTATCAATGAAAGGAAGGAACCACTACTCAAGGGGCGACTTGGGGAGCTCCTGAAGGTCTTCACTGAACAACCAGACAAAAGTTGCTGATGCAATCAAGTGTTCTGGGAGTGAGTAGAATTTCCTGAATTCTCTTATCTGGCTCACACGTGGTCTAGCGTTTTCTTTCCCTTCTAACTCCAGGTCCGCTTGTATACAGGATCCTCCACTAGCCCAAATGAACTACCCTATAAGGCGGCATTTCCAGTGACTGGGGTATTACAGCACTTGTTTTGAGACATGCCACTGAGCGATTCACTGCCTGCCAAATGACAGTTATGAGAATTTTAAATGTTTAAATGTGGAACTACAAAAAGTAGCCCTAGAAATTCACACACTTCTTATCATGGCATTGAGCCAAAGAGGCAAAAAATGTTACCTTTGTACACATAAGCACCACATATTTTAAAGAGGCATTTTAGGCACCTGATTTTTTGGTGTTTTTTAATCTGTACTGTTCAGTCTTCAAGCTTAACTCCATGATGTACTGAACGCATTGTTTAAGTCAGTAAGAAATTTCAACAACTTAAAATCATTCATAAGGCTTAAAAAAAACTATTAGAACTTAAGTCGGGGGTGGGGTGGGGGACAAATGCTGTAATAGGTTTAAAATGAAGACAACAGATGCGCAAAATTTCAAAATCCTTCCTGTAATTTATAATTAACATATATTGTGAAAGAAATACCCACCAATTTCAGAAAGCCATAGGTAATTCTCAACTTTGCCATGATAAAAGAAATGGTTTTAACCAGCAGAAAAGAACTAGATTACAAATTCATGCTATTCTTCAAGTTCAAGTCAGAAATCAAAAAGATAAACCCGTAGGACCATACTGTGTCCTTGGATCAGCGAATGGAGTTTACACAAAGGTCACTGGAAGTTACACATGTGGATTGAGGGTAAGACATTGACCTTGAAGAGGAAGGCATATAAACGTGTGCATGTGTGTATGTGTGTACGTATCAATACACATATACAGAGAATGAGTATCTGATACTGCAAACATTACCATATTTAAAAGTACTTACTACCATAAATAAAAAAGTAGTCAATTGGATAACTCCTGATAATAAACAGAACCTCTTGATGCAGTTTGCAGAACTGGGTCCTTAGACAGTACATACAAATATACATATAAAAATTATTTTGCAACATTCAAATGTATTGTACATACAAATATACATATAAAAATTATTTTGCAACATTCAAATGTATTGAAAATTAGCAACTGACCTGAAAAAGGAGTATTGTCAGATCTTTCTTAGGCACATATTTATTTCTGCTTTTACAAAGAGATGCCAGGGAGAAGGAAGAGATCAGGAGAATCACCAAACCTGCTACTGTTCTGTTAAATGAACAAACCAAACAATTATTAAAATGTCCCTCTTTATAAAATTCTCATAAGAATGATTTTCCCATAGGATTTTTCTCACAGGAATGAAACTAGTCATGTTACAAAATTACAGCTAGAAACATTCAGAAAGCATCTACAACCCATCTTTGGGAAACCAGAGCTAAGGGGTTAAAATTAATGATGTGACAGATGTTTTTTGAAGGCTTGTCATCCATAAACATTCACTGTGGCCTTCTTTTTTCTCTATCCCAGGTCTTTGTTTTGTTTATGTGTCTTGTTCATCATTCTTCGCTTTCTTTGAACTACTTTCTTTGCAAGTCTAGGAGTTGAATTACAAAGATCTGTGATTTAAAGTAATTTGCTTCAAGGTTTTTTGGGTCACATTAAGAAATTGCATTTAAATGATAATATAAATTAGTGGTAATACAACAGTCTGATTCTGATAGAAAGAATGTCACTATTTTCTTTTCTTAAAAGATGGTTTCAACTCACTTGAATAGAATAATCTAAGTTTTGTTTTATTTTACTGTTATAAAAATGAATGAAAATTAAAAGAGCTTGACTGACAACAGTGACAACTGAAGTTCTCCATTTAGTCATAAATGTAGTTAAGTTTAACATCCTTGTAAGGGGCAAAATACCAAAGAAACCCACCACAGTAGTATTTAACTTCCAAAAGGGGAATGATGAAAAAATGAGGGGGCTAGTTAAATAGAAATTAAAAGGAACAGTCTCAAGAGTGAAATGCCTGCAAGTTGAATGGAAACTTTTAAAAATCATCATAATAAAGGCTCAAACTATATGTACATCCCAAATGAAAAAAAAACAACAACAGTAAGAGGACTAAAAAACCCATCACCATGGATAAACAAATACCACCACAGCTAAACAACAGAGTAAAAGAGGCAGTCAGAGGCAAAAAAAGACATCCTTTAAAAATTGGAAGTCGAATCCTACTGAAGAAAATAGAAAGGAGCATGAACACTGGCAAGTCAAATGTAAAAGTATATTTAGTCAGGCCAAAAAAAAAAAGAATTTGAAGAGCAACAAGAAAAAGACACAAAATCTAACAGCAAAATTTTAAGTACATCAGAAGTAGGAAGCCTGCCAAACAATCAGTGGGGCCACTGGACGATCAAGGTGCTACAGGAGTACTCAATGAGGACAAGGCCATTGTGGAGAAGCTAAATGAAGTCTTTGCATTGGTGTTCACAGCAGAGGATGTGAGGAAGTTTCCCACACCTGAGCCATTCGTTTTAGGTGGCAAATCTGAGGAACTGTCCCAGATTGAGGTGTAAATAGAGGAGGTTTTGGAACACAGTGATAAATTAAACAGTAGTAAATCACCAGGAAACACCCAAGAGTTCTGAAGGAATCAGTTAGGAAACAGCAGAACTTACAACTGTAGTATATAACCTATTGCTTAAGTCAGCTTAAGTCAGACTGGTGGATGGCTAATGTGACACCAATATTTAAAAAAGGCTCCAGGGATGATCCTGGAAATTACAGGCCAGTAAGACTAACTTCAGTAACAGGCAAATTGGTTGAAACTATAGTAAAGAATAGAATTATCAGACACATAGATGAACAGGATAGAAAACCGCTTTTGTAAGTGGAAATCATGCTTCACCAATCTACTAGAATTCTTTGAAGGAGGGGGTCAACAAATGTGTCGAAGGGTGATTCAGTAGGTAGAGTGTACTTGGACTTTCAGAAAGCCTTTGACAAGGTCCCCAGCAAAGGCAAAGTAAGCAATTATGGGATAAGGGGGATGGGGCCACAGAACTGCCATCATGTAATGACTTTCAGGTACTGATAATAAACAATATTGAAATTACACAAGGGCTACCTAGTTTGAGTTTTCAAATTACTGAAGGAAACTTGATCTTGGATTTAGGGCTGCAGTGATCCTAGCCTTAGAACACGTGCATTTTGCTCACAGAAGTGGATCTCACCGAAGCTCTGGTTTATTTATCTTCGTAGTTTCTCTTCCATTCCTTCCCTTAGCTTCATGTGCTCCCAGATGCCACATATATTTTCAAAATCCAAAAAACCCAAGACAACATTTAGACAAGCACAAAACATTTCAGAGCTGTAAAGAAGAACTGGAGGAGGGGGACCAAAAGGGTACCCAGCAAGTGCCAGTTGCATTAGGGATCACTTGCAATGAAAAAGCAGGGAGAGAAGAAAACCGGAGTGACTGGAGGAGCAGAGTAGTGGATACAATCCAATGTGCATTTAAAAAAAAAAAAAGAATGAACTGGACTGGAGGAAATGTATGCTTACATATGCAGCCAAAAGATGCTAATAAGGAGTGAAAAATCGTCATAGATATTCCTAAAATGCCTACCACAATGCCAAAAGTTGAGTGGGTGGGCAGTAGATGGGGGAGGGTTGGATCAAAAATCTGGTAGGATGGACTAAAACTGAATGAGCAGTGTTGGAATTACGTTTGGGAAAAGCATCAATACCTCTGAAAATATTTAGGATCATAGCTCTTCCCCCACCTTCCAAACATCATGCTGCTTATCCAGGTATCAGAGCTCTAACAGCATCTCTTACTCAAGCACAGTGACATCATGCTAAGATGACTCCACTAGGCACAATGTGTCGAGCAGGGAAAGAAGTGTTGTGTCAAGTTCAAATCAAGCATTTTCTTTCTCTGCATTAAGTTCTATACTACATCTAACCAAACCAAGCTGGGCCAATCAGTGGGACTGGCAAGTAGACTGGTGAGAGGAGATGCCTGCAAGATTAAGTGGTAGTTGGCAATGAGAATGGAGTGGATGATGGAGACAGAAGTGCACAAGAAAAAACTGCCAATGGCACAGTGTGGGAAGAGACAAAGGAAAGAAGAGGAGGAAACGAACAATATGGGAAGGAGAAGCCAAAGAGAGAATCAAGGAGGAAAGGAAATAGGAAAACAACAAAGAAAAGCTAGATACACAGACTAAAAGAGAAAAAAAAAATCCATCCCATTAATGTGAGTACTTCATTAGCTACAGACTTTTATTCAATGACAAATTACTTAAAATTAGATATGGGAATTAAAAAAGATAATGTCAAAACAAATTGGTTTTGGATAAATGCTTTTTCAAGTTTGTCAATGCTATTTACCATGTTTGCACCCAAATGAATATCCTCCTTTAATTAATTCCTGTATTTTCACATACTAGTTGCACTTTTTATTAAGTGAGAAAAGCTTCTCTCTACATGAAATTACAGAACACTGCTAAGCAAATGGATGTATCTTTCTTTGAAGTAATGCAGGAAAATTAAAAGTCTATTCTCATTCACATTAATGAATAACTAAGGCATCTATGATCACATTGTTTAAATTCAACAGCTGCCTCAGCTGGTTTTCAATAATACAGTGGTTCACCTATGACAAAACTCAGCCTAAATTTGTGAATATTAAATGGAAAAATAAAGAGCTGTAATCAAAAAAATGTTCTTACACCAGAGAAATATTAGGCTCTCTTCCTACAACAGGCATCAAGGGAAACATTGCCAAGAGTAAACATAATAGAGTCCAGCTCAATGTTGTTACCTAAAACAAACAAACAAACAAACAACAGCATCTTTAGAAATCATGCCTGCAGACAAAATTGACTATACAAAGAAAACATTTCTGTATTTGCTATACTGAGCTAATAATATATCATTTGACCCTGATTCAGGGAAGCATTTAAATAATTTCTAAAGTCCTATTGAAATCAAGAGGAAAATAAAGTAAAAGTGTGTTTAAGTGCTTTCTTGAATTGGGGCCTTTGAATGCATCCGATGAAGTGAGCTGTAGCTCACGAAAGCTTATGCTCAGATAAATTGGTTAGTCTCTAAGGTGCCACAAGTACTCCTTTTCTTTTTGAGCACAACTTGTTACTCAGAAAACTGGGTTTATCTATAACTTTATGGAAATGAGTGAAACGCAAGATGAGATCCCAATAAAACTAATATGATCACAGATGTTCTACACAGGTTTGGCATCCCACACCAATGGGGGCTGCGGGAAGCGGTGCAGGCCTGGCCGCCACGTCCTGCAGCCCCCATTGGCCTGGAGCGGCAAACCATGGCCAGTGGGAGCTGCAATCGGCTGAACTTGCAGACGCTGCAGGTAAACAAACCATCCCAGCCCGCCAGCGGCTTTCCCTAACGTGCCAAAGGTTGCCGATCGCTGTTCTACACTATAACTACTCAGAAGAACAAGTAATCATTAATTGTCCTAAATACAATTAAAAATTATGAACAGTCAAATAGAAAGCTGCCACCTGGACAGTTTTATAATGCAGAGCAAGACTCAGGAATCTCTCTAATTTGAATACAAGAGAAAACAAGGATTTTTCAGGTTGTCATAATACATTTTAAAATTTAAAATTTGCAGTGTTTCTTGGATTAAAAAGGTTTCTGAATAAAGTAACAGTGATGGCGGACATCGAAAGCTGCAGCTTTCCCATGCATTCAAGTGGAAACTGTGCCACCTGACTCCCACCCTACAGCACCAGACTAGAGTTTTTGCTGGGAAACATTAGCACAATGGCAGCTTCAGAGGTGAGACGAGGCACACTGTTTGGTTACCGAGATAGTGAAACAGCAACAGATTATTATAATAGCTATTTTAAACATTAATTTTCAAGAAATATTTGTATTTATTAAATAGCTACATGCCTACAGTATTGTGGCTAATCATTGTAAGCTTCCTCTAAAGACCTCAATGTTTATAAAACTGTTACATTTTAGTAAAATATCTGTGCATGTTTCGTGACTATTTTCGTGAGATTTTATCCCAAGCACTTATAATTATTACATCATAGAATACAACAACTGAACACTGGTAACACTGAAGCTAGCCTGAAAACAGGATGGCAGCATGCCACAGCTAACTGGGACACTAGACTTCAGCAGAAAACTTGGATTTCCCAACCAATTTGTTGGCCCATTACGGTAACTACCAAAAGCAGTGCAGATACACTACAGTCAAGATAAGCTTTCAGTCAAGTGTCATGGCAGCACTGGTCGGTCAGCACCCTTACTGCTTGGCCTATAAAACTGTAACATCAATAGATCTGGGAAACGTGGCATTATCTTGCCCTGCTTGATGTCAGCCATTATAGTGATAACAGGAAGTGCATTACAGGAACAAGAATTAGGAGACCACAGTCCAAAAGAGGAGACCAACCATTTACTAAAAGGTAACCAACTACCAATCAATTTAATGCCTTTTGGCAAAGCATTACTGTACCTTTGCTTGAGCCCACAGTCGTGTGATCAATGGCCAGCCAGCAAAGGCAATGAGACCAACAGTAAGTGTAGAGCGGTAGAAAAAGCTGAAAACCTAGTAAAAAATTTCAATAAGAAAATGAAAAACAAAACTCTAATAAAAGCAAAATTTCCTCAAGCAAATAAAAAGCTAGCAATGAGGTCCTTTATAAATACATAGTAATTAAGTACTTACTAATATTTCAATTCCCAGAGCACCAGCTCCTAAGAATCCAATAGACTGACCCAGAGGAAATACCAAGAGCAATGACACAAGGTCTTGAATAACTCTGAATCTGTTTAGGAAGATAGCACAGGATAATCATTATCTTTAGTTAAACAAATTAGACAGGATCACTGCCATAAATTAGGAGTTTTAAGAGTGTAAGTGCTCAGAAGCAGCCCTCATTTTTTTAACTTTACACACCATTTTAAAACCATCAGAACTACCTTCATCTGTATAGACTACAGAGTTTAAGAATATTTACATTAAGTTCAGCATCCACTGAAACTGACAACAAAATTCAAGAGTGTTGACAAAAAAATATGCCTGGTTAGCTTTATTAGTGTCTAGTTAAACAGGTCATTACTAAAAGCCAACAAGAGCTTGTCCAGTTTTCTTTGAATAATACAAAAAGCCATTATGTCAGGCAGGTAACGGCAACCGCAAACTTACAAATATTTCCATAACCAAGAGCATTTTTTCAGCATAGGCCAGAACCATCAACCAATTTTGCAGAATTAGAGCCTGATTCTGAATGGTGCTGGTGTTCAGCACATTGGAGAATCGGACTTAGTTTGAAAATCACTGAAAATTTTTTTGTCCAACTTATGAAATCAGTTTCTACAAATTCCTCTCCAACACATCAGAAAGTTGCTCCAGAGGCAATACTCTAGAGGCAGCTTCTCCCACACCCTGCAATGTTATTTTGTTTTTGAGAGTGTAAGACCATTTTTACTGGTCGAAAAAATTTCCAAGTAGAAGAGGTATCTACTAGAAGGGCCAAATATAGCTGTCAGTTTGGAAACCCCACTCCAACTGCTAGGGAGAGATAAACAAGAATGTCCTAGAATGTCCTGGAAAATGAATATTTCATAAAAGGAAGAAAAACATTTCTCAACGATTTTGCATAATTTGATTGTCAACAAAGGGAGGGGGCGTAGAAGAGGAGCGAGAGGAGTTTATGAAACAGCTTGATTCTTTACTTACTCTTTCACAACTGCATACCATACTGGTACCGGTAACAGACAATATATGTAATATGTCCATGGACAGGTTTGAATCAGCAGGAAAAAAGCTATTAATACTCCAGTAGCTGCAAAACCATACAAGAGGAGAACAGTAGATGCCTGAAATGCAAATGATTTCTATAAACATTCCTGAAAGAATACTCTAATATTTCAAACTCCAGAATACTATTTCCCAGTTATCTGATGCACAGTACATTAAATACTATTCCAAGAAAGCAGCTACACTAATGTACAAGGCAGCTCATCAGCTCAATGTATACTGTTTCCAGGCAGAAAAATATTTAGGAGTGGCATTTAGACATGTAGGGCTAAATTTTCAAGCAAAAGGACTTACAGTAAAGTGCGCGTGAAAAAAATGAGTGTGCACAAACTGGTACATACAACACTGATCTGTGCATGCACAACGTACTTAAATATCGAAGGGAGTTACAATTACTCAATATTTTGGAAAATAAGGACACTTCTATTTAGGTGTCTAAATATGCATTTAGAAAAATAAATTTTAGCACCCAAGTTTGCATAACAGTTACTATGTCCAAAGGTTTCAACGTAAAATTCCATGTGAACATTTGTTTCTTTTGTGTAAGAAATTAGTAGGAGAAAAAACTTCAGTTATCGAACTGGAATAAAATTCTTTAATTGCTATTGAAAAATCCAACACTCTTTTCAGGAACTATGAACTGATTCTCCACAGCCTTTTCTTATGTGAGTAAGGTTTTGCTGTGTAAGGCAGGTCTGCAAGAAGAGGCTTCAAGTTTGCATTTATTTGTTGAAATTAATTTATTTGATATTAATCCTCTTTTTTCTAAACCTTTTTGGATTTTGATGTTCATACAAGAAATCAAGGGACATGGCTATTTTTATTTGTATTGTGAAAGCTCCTAGAAGCCCTAGCCCCATTGCGCTAGCAACTGCAGAAACACATCACAAAAAAGATGAGCCCTGCCCCGAAGAGCTTAAAATCTAAGTATAAGACTATAGACAAGAGGTAGCTATAGGTAACTATTGTTTAAAAGCTTCTACACACAGCTAGCCCTGTTAATGATTTAAAAACAATTGGGCTTTGCCAAAGAATTTATAACCTAAAGAGAATATTCCTTTTAGTATGTAAGAGAGAATGCAGATTGTTCTATCGTGCTTATTTATTGCTGAATAAAGTGCCTGTACGAAAGAGGAATTTCAGAAAATATAAAACTCTGATGTACACTTAGAAATGGATGAAATTTTCTAAACCTGGTAGGTTACACTTAAAATAGCACTAGTGTACATCATCACTTCTATGTCTACAAAGAAGAACATTAAATAAGCATTTTCCTTTCTTGTCACAGCTTTTATTTACACTGATTCAGGAACCACTCAGTGTAGTCTGGGAACATTCTGATATTTGAAAGCTTAAAGTTTTATTAAATATTTTTGTTCTGAAGCCCATTACAACTTGACATAACATGCAAAAGCCTTAAGATCCAAGGGCAGTCTTTGGTACATTATATGCTGACAAAGCCTAAAAAAACCCCAATGACCCTATCTATTGTTTTTCTTCTATAAGTTGTGTCAACTTCTTTGAGGAGTAAAAATATATAGTGGAATATGCAAACGTATTAAACGTGTAGGGGAGAGGAGTCCAGGTAGCTAATGTAAAACATTCATTCCTCTTCTTTCCCCTGTAGTTGACATAAAACTGTCTCTCTCTAAGCTGATGGGAAGTATCAGATCTAAATGACTTTTAAAAATAGAATTTCTGGCATGCTATGTCATATTAAGTTTGGATAAGATATGTCACATGAAAACTGACCTAATGCAACTCATTCTATCACAAATGTAAAAATAGATCTTTTGGCTCCACTACTTGGTTCCAAATTGCAGGTGAAAGGAGATTTACATTTTCGGTGGATGTTTAAAAATAGGAAAAACTGATAAACCTATAATTCTTCCTAAATTAAATAACACATTGTTTTAAGGGGAAGTGTTTTTGTGAGGAGCATGAAAAGCCACACACAGTTTTAGGAGATGATTAATGTAAACAGTCCTATTAGCCAGCCAGAGTCTAGAACCAGCTCCATAAGATCATAAAACTGTGATATGGGTAGCTTATTTGCCCATTATAGTCTAGTTACACAGAACAATTTCTTCATGTAGCTTTGATACTAGCCATAAAGCTAATGACTTTATGGTGAAAAGCAGAGGTCTCACCACCAACTACTAATTGTATGTCTGAACTGAAAGAAATGGTTCTACTGGAAAAAGCTGGTTACTACAATATGTGAAAATCTGCAGACCAATGATACAAAAGGCTCTTTAATTTCTTTTACAAGAATAATTAAATACAAAACTTGACTTTATTCTATGGACCCCATAAATATATGGTGTGACAAAGTTCCTCCTCTGCCTTGGTGGGTCCTGCACTTATTGGCGGATTTGCTCACCTCAGAGGTTCACAGCAGCCCTCAGTTTGGCCACTTTCATGGCTCAAATCGGACGTTCACTCAGTTAGTCTCATCACTGGCCAGCATGGGGAAAAGGAAGAAGAACAATCCCCGCAGTCTCTGATGATCCACCTAGTGGATCGGGGAACAGACCAGAGACCTTCCACTCTTGCTTCTTGCTCCCAGCTCCTCGCACGCACCACAAACTGAAGTGAGCTCCTTTTTAAACCCAGGTGCCCTCTTTGCCAGCCTTAATTGATTTTAGCAGATTCTTGATTGGCTGCAGGTGTTCTAATCAGCCTGTCTGCCTTAACTGTTTCCAGAAAGTTTCTGATTGTTCTGGAACTTTCCTTGTTACCTGACTCAGGGAAAAGGGAACTACTTAAACTGGGGCTAATAAATCTGCCTTCTATCGCTCTCCTGTAGCCATCTGGCCCGACCCTGTCACAATGGTAACTATGAATACCAATTTTCAATTCTAAAACAATTTTACACTGATTAAAAAAAGAAAATACGTTTTTGTTGAAAGAGCTATTAATATTCTGAATTTGTTTGTTTATAACCAGTGTTTTTGAATACTTTCTCAGATACTTGATAACAAAAAACCTTTTTTGAAGTTATGTAGTATTGTATTTCTCAATATTTTTCCATTTTGTTTGATCATTTTTATTCAATGCTAAGAATATCTCATTTCAGTCCACAGACAGTAAAAGGTCTGGATTTTTTCACTATAGGAATTTTCTCACAGTAATTTACTAGAAGTAGTAAAGATGCTAATTGAGCACGGATCCTCATTTACATTAAAAAATGAAACAAGCCTTTTTATTCTGAAATAAATATTGAAAGATTTTTTTGAAGGTGTTAACCTTCTTTTAGTAAAAATTTTCTGTTCACCTTTTCAGATTAAAGGTCTTTTCTTTTCCTGATGACTGAATGAAAAAGATGATTTCCTAAGCATCTGTACTTGGTGGCAATCAAAGTCATTCTTGTTTATTTCTAAATGTACTTTCTGTATCTCTGATGCACTGCAAATCAGGAGTGAGAGTGCAAGACAAAAAGAGAGGGCTGATCTGTGAAACAACAACTAAAGTCTTTTAGTGGAACAGGTTATATGCTTTGCAAATGCCAAAATGGAATTGTTCAGCTTCGGAAAAATCTAATTTTAAATTGCCACAGAGGGATAAAAAAGAAATTAAATGTAAGATGATTTTCTTTTTGCCTTTATTAGAAAGAAAAAAATATATATAATAGAAGTCTGAAGTCTGGATTAACAATCACAAGATATTTTAATGTTAAATAATTAGAATTAAGGGTGAATATGTATTTACACAGCTATGTTCTTCTGATGTTAAGCCAATATGAAAAAAGGGAGAAGTTAGTTTATATTCTCCTATCTCATACAGCATTACCAGCAAAACGGCTATCATTAGCATTAAATTAGAAAGGCCAATATTAGGGAGAAGTAAGCCTTCATTTCCAAATACATTGCCCAATACTGTACATGGAAAGAAACGTGTCAGAGGGTGGTTTCAGAATGTGACTGAGCAAAATACAAGCAGTTTTCCTTTAATACATCTACACTACATTTCTAATGCATTGTCATGAACGACAAGCAGTGGGAAATACTGAAAACACAGTCAGAGAACTTATGACTGAAATTCATCTCAGTAAAATTATAATAAAAAAGAACAAAAGAAACCTGGTAAAGAGGAGGGAAAAGAGCAGTGTCATAAAAAAGCTAACAGAGTCTCCACTGATGTGTAGACTGACCTGGTTAAATATGGATACATGGTCTGTATTTCTTGAATTTAATGAATCAATGTACAACACAGTTGCAGTGAACTACAAACCTATTGCAACTAGAAGCAATGGGATCTGTCCAGGTCTCCTCCTCATACATTACACAATGGCCCATCTTTTCAGATGTCCTGAACCGTACCTGAAGTTGGTGAGGGAGATTTCCCTCAAACTACAAGTAGTTTCTGCTGGCAAGGATCTTTTACTCCAGCTTTGCTTGTGGGGGTACCAATTGGTCTACTGTTTTTGTACAAACGATACATGTATGTATAAACTGCTAATTAACCAGCCAGCAACATCACTGCATATTTCAACCTACCTTATTATCCTGGGTACTCCTAGTCAGACTAGTATGTGTCTTGACAATCAGCAAAATCACATAAGATGTCCAGCCCACAAAACCCATGACAACACTTATGCCCAAGAACAATCTGTCGTAAGTATGGTAATATGACAGTCCTTCCAAAGCAAGGCTAATCAGGGTTTTGCAAAGAGATACCTTCAGAGAAAAATAGAATATATATATATATATCTCACAACAATTTACAATATAATCAGGTAGAACATACTCATAAAATAAATTTACCAAGAAAACATATAGCAAAGAAAAGTTGCTTACCTTACAGTAACTGGAATTCTTTGAGATGTGTTGTCCATATATTCTAATCTTGCTGCACATGCACCCCATACACTAGACATTGGAGTCTTTTGGCCATCAGTATCCATTGGGACCGTGCATAAGCCCTAGGTGTTCTGCTCCCATACAGAGAGCATAAAGGACAGTGTGGACCCAACTGCCATTCTTTTCCTTCATCACCACAGAATCCAGATGTTTCAGAATTCTGTTGGGTGGGTGGGTGGGTGGGTGGTGGTGGGGGAACAGGTTATGGAATATATACGGACAACACACCTTGAACTCCAGCTACTGTAAGTTAAGTAAGTTTTCTTTCCTCAAGTGCTTGTCCACAAATGTTCCACTCTTGGTGACCTACAAGCAGTAACCTGATGTAAAGAGGACGACGCACAGAATCTACTTAAAGATTGCAGCACAGATCTGCCAAAAGAAGCATCAGACCTCAGTGCTTCCAGGGAATAATGTCTAGGAAAAGTATGGACTGAATCCCAAGTAGCTGCCCTCCAGATGTCTGAAATGGGAATGATTTGCAATGAAGCTGCGCAAACCATAGGGGAGTGAGTTCTAACCTGAGAGGAAGGATCTAATCTAGCTAGCTCATAACAGACCCTAATACATCCCAATACCCAATTGGATAGTTTTTGGGCTGATACCACTCTTCCTTTTATTCGGTCAGTAAATGCTATAAGTAGCTTTGAGGAGACACTGAGGGATTTGGTCAAACACCCCTTGATTAGAATGTAGCTTATGGAAAAATACTGGTAAATTAGTCATTTGGTTCAAACGGAACTTTGGGTGAGAACTTGGGATGGTGTGTGAGTGGTACCTTATCCTTATGAAATATCATACTAGAAGGGCCTGCCATTTGAGTTTGCATTTCACCAGTTCTTCTAGTTGATGTGACTGCTACTAAAAAAGGACTTTTTCCATATATAAATAACAGTGAACAGCTTGCCAGAGGTTCAAATGGAGGGCTCATTAAGCCTTCAAGAACACATTATGGTCCCATGGAGGAAGTTCCTTTACCAATGGAAAAACATGAATAAAGCCCTGAAGAAACTTAACTATAGTGCATTAGGAAAACACCATGGGGCTCTGGAGCTTGTGGTCATATGCAGAAATGACTGCTAGAAGCACGTAAAGCTAACAGATAGCTCTGAATTCTTCAGAAAAAGCTAGTAAGTCCAAGACAGGAGGGATGCAGGAGTTAATGTAACTATCATTATTCACACCATAACCTGAATCTCTTCCATTTAGCAGCATATGTTAATGTGATGGAATCCTTTCTATTTTGGATCGAGATGCTCTGGACATCTGAGGAACATGAGCTCTCTGACATCGAGCCAATAGCCAAGTGGTGAGGTGGAGGGAGATTGGATTTGAATGTAAGACATTCCCACTATCTATTAAATCCAGTAGAAGATTTGAGTCCCTTTGAGATTTACCATGACGACAATGAGACTTCTCTTGAGTCCATTATACCCTGTGCCTGATGACGGCCCAGATGTGCTCCTCAACCCAGAAGGGACATATTCATCACAAAAATCTTGGTTGAGAAAGGCAAAGAAAAAGGTACTCCCCTGCACACCTGGTTAAGATCTTACCATAAATTTATTAATGTTAGAATGTCGTGAGGGATTAGTAGAGTCGTGTCCATGTAGTGTTTGCTAGGCATGTATATCAACTTTCGCCAGCCAGTAGTATCACACACTGTGTGATGAATGTGCAAGTGGCCATGTGCCCAAGAAGTCTTACCCAATTCCTTACAGTAGTATGAGGACGCTTTTGAAAATAAATGATGAGATTGGATGTGGCTTCAAATCTGTCTTGGGACAGATAAGCTCTGGCTATTGTGGAGTCTAATAGTGATGACTGCTAGATCCTTGGTAAATACCATTGGCACTGCAGAAAGACCACAAGACAGTCCTCTGTACGAATAATAGTTCTGTCCCATCTGAAGTCTTGAATATTTATAAGGGAATGCTGGAAGTATGGAGATTGGAAGTAGGCATCTTGCAGATCAAGAACCCCAAACCAGTCTAGTGAATCTAGTGATGGAATTGGGGAGGCTACCGATTACCATTCTGAATTGTCGGTTGAAGATAATGAGCCTTCTCAAATTCCAAACTAGTCGCCATCCTGACTTTTTCTTCAGTATTAGCAAGTAATTAGAATAAAAACCCTACCCCCTGAATTTTAGCTAAACAACTTCTATTGCTCAGAGAGACAGAAAGGACTCCCCTTCCGGATACAACAGTGTCTCATGAGCACAGCCCCTTAAAAGGGAAGGAGAAGGGAGCAGGGATAGGCATAGTATGCATCTGTAGTGAATATCTGACTGAGACTATTTCAAAGACCCAGCAGCCCAAGATTATCAGGTTCAGCTGAAAAATTGCAGATGATTCCTAAGTGCACGAAAAGAAGGGTGTAGATTCAATAGACTGACAGTAGAAAGGCTCTTTACCAATTTGTCAAAGTGATTATTTTGACACAGACACAGAATGGGATGAAGCCACAACAGAGGAAGAAGGTCTTCTTTTCTTAAAAACTCTTTGTTGTAGGTGCAAAGGCTCTTTTTTGGAAAAAGATATCAGATGATGGTCTCTGTCTAGCATAAGTGCGTGGTCTTCCCTGTTTTCCTTCAGAAGCCAGTATATAAACTCCAAGAGAGAGGGGAGTGTGGCCCAGGAGTCCTTCAATAAGAGAAGAGCCTTGTCAGGTTTTTGTACTAAAGAGACCCAGGCCCTTAAAGGGAAGATCTTCCATGATCAATGCATCTCTCTCTAGATGCCAGAATTTGGGACTCAGGATAACAACAGATATCACCATGGATCAAGAGACAGTATCAGAAGCATTCAGAGTTGCCTGAGAGGACATTCTGGCAATCAAAGATTGTCTCAGAGATCAAAAATTTAAACTCCTCTCTTTTCTCTCGAGCAGTTTGTTAATAAATTCTGAATTTTTTTGTATGCAGTGTTGTTGTAGCTGTGTTGGTCCTAGGATATTACAGAGACACAGTGGGTGAGGTAATATCTTTTACTGGACCAATTTCTGTTGGTAGGAGAGAAAAGTTTTTGAGCTTACACAATTTATTGTAATTTAAGAAGCCATATCATGCCAGTACCGCCTGATAATCAGCAATTGAGAATTGCAGGCTGCAGACAAATAATTTATGTATGAACAAATCAAGCTGCTTAGGTTCTTTATGTCCAAGAATCATCCTTGGTTGTTACTGTCTGCTCTTTTTGTAAGGAACCACAACCGCTAGCTAGCCAGATACTGGATGAGTGTAGATAGTCTTTCCTGGTGGACAGCACCTAGTACCTCTTATCAGCTACTAGAGAGAGGTCAGACTTATGGTTACTGGTGTTTGCCAGATATACTTTGCCAGCTGTAAAAGGACTTTGTTGATGGGAAGTGCCAAAAGCTCAGGCACAGAGCCATGAAGAACATTCAAGAGCTTATGTAAGGTCTTTTGTACCTCCTCTCCCTGTGCTTGGTATCTCGAGAGAACTGGCTATATGTCTGAGCAGATCTTGGAAACTTTTGTAGTCATTCAGGTAAAACAGGAGCAATTCCTCAGCTGCAGATGAAGACGACATAGCAGGGGATGAGGTTTTTACCCTAGAAGGTAGTGCAGAAGTGTGATGCCTTGTGTGGTGAAGACCCCAGGTGTGCCAATAAGGCCATTTTGGAACATAATGTGGAAAAGGGCCCGGGTGCCAGGGACAAAGATACCAGGACATATGCCTACACCTATACCTATGCGATCTAGCCATGTAAGAAGCCCTCAACTTTCTTTCAGACTCATAAAACTCAAAAAAGGACCCTCAGAGAATATGTACAGGATCCCTCCCCACTGTGATGGGAGTCCAGCTTGGAGTCTTTGATTAGGAGCAGTGAGGTGTTTTGGACCTCGTTTGGACCTGGGAAATCTAAAAGGGGATGTTCCCCCTGCTCTTCCCAGGGGAGCAATATTCCTCTCTCTGAAAATCTGACTTTTTCAGTCCTATGCAAGTCTGAAGTTAGGCCAGGCTTTGATGATGAGGCCTGGGAGCTAATGGAACCAGAACTCAAAGGGGGACTTTCTGAACCGAGATGGAACTTCTCCAGAGTGGTTTGCCCCACCTGGTTTAGAGGTCAGCTGCCTAAAGTAGTCTAATAAAACCATTAGGCATGCCTCTCTCACCTTCAAAGTTCTTTTAGAAAAGGACCTGAAGGCAGAGCATTTGTTGGAGATGTGAGCTTCGCAAGACAAAAAAGGCAACTGATGTGACCATCACTGATTGCCTCTCAAGAGGGGCAACACTTAAAGGTGACTTAGGATAAGACATCCATAAGGCCTGGTACAGGGAAGAAGTTCCATATCAGAGTAAAATAAAAATAAAGTTGGTAAACAACCAAAACTATAAAATCTTGCTGACGGACAAACTATCCTAATTAAAACTACTCCTAAGTACACTAACATATATAAATGTTTACAAAAGGACTCTGAAAAATATTGCAGAGACCAGACACTGAGGAGCTCCATCTCACAGCTAGGGTCATCAGAAGGAACTGAATGGTGGTTAGACCTGGACTGCCGTTTATGCCCTTGATATGGGACCATGAGGATACGCAAGGAATATGCATGGCCCCAGTGGACACTGATGGTCCAAAGAGTCCAATCTCAATGGTTTGCACACCAAGAGTAGAATAAAACATAAAATAAGCACTCTGTGTAAACTTGTTATAATCTGGGTCTTCCTTATACCAGTTAAATCTACAGACTATGGTGAAGTTAAAATAAAACAGTTGGCTCAGGTGAGGGGGGGAAAAAACAAACCAACAGGGATTTTTGATCAGAACATGGCCCCATAGATTCTTTTTTCTAGAAATGCCGCTGGTTCAGTGTGTGACCTTGGGCAAATCCCTTAACTTTGCTGTAAAGTACTCGTCTGTAAATGACATTTACCTACCCAATCTCACAGGGGTGGTTGAAATCCTTGATTGAAAGGTACTATGCTTATTTTTTCATATCAGAGCACAATAAATCCACCACCCTTCATAAAACACTGAGCCAAATTCATCCACATCTAACTGCACTGGCTTCAAAAGAGTTACACCACGAATAAATGTGGTTTGTTTTGTCAGAAACATCAGCAACAGCAGCAAACATTTAAAAATATGAAAAAAAATTGTCACTTTTCATATGCATCAAAATTATTGTTTAGAATTGAATGAATGGAAGTGTGAGGCTATGGAGACTTACAATAGGATTAATTTTGTGTTAGTAAAAGATGAGTCAGTAAATGGAAAAAAAAAAACCAAGGTGGCTACTTAAATGGAAAATAGAAAAAAGACGATGGAAGTCCAAGATTTAGCCTAAGTTTTCAAAGATTTATTACTGTATGGTGATGATTCACTTACCGCCTCATGATATTTTTCCTGATGAATATAAGATCTTGCTTTTCTCAAAATGTTTATCTGTTCAGTATCTGAAAGCAACCTATATCAAAAATACAAAAGGTCCTTTTAAAAAACATGGTGCTTTTTTGGTGGGAGGGATTGGGAGCATGGAGGAAAAGAATGTATCTAATTTAGGAACCTTAATGTAGACCCCCTGGGCACTCTGTTAAAAGTGTACCATATATCCCCCAAAAAACTGAGCAATTTAATCACAGGACATTATGAGCCATTTCTCTACCTGCATCCTCATAAATTAGTAAATTATGTTGACACTGAATTCATTTTGAGAATCTGTATTAAAAACATTTTCTTAATTTAGAACTTCTACCTAAATGTATGGGTGGAAATTCCCTGCACCATTTGTAACACATGCATTATTACTGTTCCTGGCCGGGAGCATTGCCAAAAAACAAAACAAACAAACAAACAAAAAAGAAGTCAGCCATACTTCTACTGGCTGTACGGATGCTACAGACACATCTTTAAATGGCAAGCCCTTTGAGGCAGGTATTGTTACTTTTCTATGTTTAAATAGTGCTCATCATAATGGGACCTGAATCCCAATTGGGGCCCTTTGTGCTCTATGCGAATAATAAATAATATTATGACTAGGAACCTTTTCCTTGAAGAACTAGCATTTATCTTCACTCAGAAACACAGTGATCCTCTAATGGACCCTAAAAACTGCAGGTGAAATGATGACTCCATTAAAGTCAATGGCAAAACTCTCATTGATTTCTGAGGAGACAGGACTCCACCCTAGTCTTCCTGAGAATTTTCCTGTCACAACAAGTGACACAATACAAAAGAAAGAACAGAATGGGATGGAGCAGAGTAAGGCCTAGCTCATTTTTTTCAGGGTGGAGCACTGCAATGGATTGGAGAGCTTACATGCCTGATCACTGAGCTGCCCCCAAGTTTTATTACTCAATGAACTTCCCAGTGTTTTCTGCCACTGCTGCTTCATTTGAGTCCAGTGTTAGCGGTATTCCAAAATGTACTATGCACATCAAAAGTAAACACAAAATCTCTGCAGGTTCCCCAGAAGCAGAAAAACCAGCACTCCAGCTATGACTGGCTACAGAAAATCTAAGGAGCGGAACAGAAAAGTAGCTACGAGGATGGAAAATGATAAATGGTTTGACTGCTACAGATGCAGTCCAGTCAGGTCAGGATCCATAGTAGAGGATCTAAGGAAGACCAGCTATATGGGTGAAAATTAACAGAATCAGGTAGTGAGAATGGAGAATATTGGGGAGAGAAGAAGAAAGAGAAAGAAGTGGTTGTTGCAGACAATGAGTTGATTTAATGTCCTTATAAGGTCTGTTTTGAAATCTCGGGAAATGAACAAACAGAGAACCACTTCAGTGCTTTACACACTTTCAAAAAATGCTCCTCTGAAAGTGCACCATACTGCTTTGTAGGCCACTGATACTTTACAGAAAAAAAACAAAATAGTCACCACACCATTGCCACTGAGCATGCACCAATTTTGGTGCTCACAGGATTAAAATAGCCAGGTTTTAGACTGTAACATCAGTACACTCAAAAGACCTGAGCAATGTCTATGAAAGAACACAATAGGAGTTGTATTCATTACACAGTCTTTTCCAATATCTGTCATATTCTAAGATTTCTTGTTTGTTTTGAGAGGGGATTAGGAAGAACAGGGCAGGACCTATTTATGGGATAAATAAGAGAAAGAAAAGAAAAGTTTATCTTCACATTTGGTTAAGATTTAGCAATCTGGAATGAATACTGAACACCTTTTCTCATGACTCGTGGTATATGTCTAATAAATTCTCATATGATATGCACTGTCATTTATTTTTATACCTATTTTACTTTCTGCCTATTTTATCCATGTCATCTTCAACTTCAAAATTGAATAAGTTAAAAAAGCATTCTTTTAATCTTTATTTTTATCTTTCACTGTAGATCATCTCATAGAGTCATTTAGCCTCTCATTATTCTTTAATTCTCAGTGAATAACATTATTATTAATGAAATTGCTACGGTCTTTGCCTTTTTTACTTGCTTCATGGATGACAGCTCCCAGGATCTTCCGCATATGGAATGGATACAATAGAATAAATGGGGCTTTCAAGCAGTACAATTTTTGTAAGTCAGTGCAGAATGCAATTATTTTGTAGAACAAGGGTAACATTCATAAGTGCATTGTTAATTTTAATAGGCTGACTATAAAAACATACCCTAAATGTTACCCCACTTCTGCACAAATGTTTTTATAAGACACCAAACTTTGTTTACTGAAGTGCCAACGAAGAGGTGTCAAATAAATTCAGAGACACTTTGAATTAGGTGAAGTCCTGCAACTGATTGACTGGCTGCTGGTGCACCCATCCACATGCACATGTGGAGCTCCGTCTGCTTAAATGAGACTCTGCAAGAGTGCAGGGTGGCAATCACATGCAGCCAGTTGAAGAATCAGGGCTGTGAGAAGCAAGGGAAATAAATATAATGAATCCTAAGGAGAAATCTACACAGGGGCAGTAAGTTACTAAAAACCTAACAACATCAGGAAAGGACTTTAGATAAGGAACTCATTCAGGACAAAAAATAGTAATGCACTGCATGGAATGAAGACAAGGGGATCAGGTTTGGGCAGGACTGCGGTTCACGGATGAATAATTACTATGATTAGTTTTAACAGAGCTTACTATGGGGTCGGCAACCTATGGCACGCGTGCCAAAGACGGCATGCGAGCCAATTTTTAATGGCACACTGCTGTCTGCCGGACCCCGGCAGACAGCAGCGTACCATTTAAATTCCTGCCCGGCCAGCTCTTTTCCGCCCACCGCTCTCTCCTTGCAGGGCAGGCAAGCTTCCCCCTCCCCCTGCCTCTTCCCCCAGCGTGCTGGGTTCCTGCCCCTCCTTTTCTCCCTCCCTGCGGCTGGGCCGATCAGCTGGTGGTTCTTGCTATGGAGGGGGAGAGGGAAAAGCGGAGCTGCAGCATGCTCTCTGTTCCGGGGACCTTGGGGAGGGTGGGTGGAATCAGGGCATATCCCCCTGAGCCCCCTGCCGTGAGCCGCTCAGGGCAGGGGGCTGGGAGCACCCCCACATCCCCAGCCCACACCCCCCAGCCCTCTGCCCTGATCCTGAACCCCCCACACCCCTCAGCCCTCACCCCTGCACCCTCCTCACACACCCCCAGCCATCTGCCCTGAACCCTCCTCACACACACACACAGCCCTCTGCCCTCACCTCCACACCCCCCCCACACCCCAGCCCCATGCCCTGACCCCTGCACCCCCCCACAACCCCAACCCTGACTCCAGCACCCCCCACACATACCCAGCCCTCCGGCCCTGACTCCTGCACCCTCCTCACACACCCCCAGCCCCCTGCCCTGAGCACCAAAGGGGAGCTCCTGCGCACACACACACACACCCCACATTCCCACCTGCAGCCCTCACACCAAATGGGAGCTGCCCGGATAAGCGCTCCACACCCAAACCTCCTGCCCCAACCCTGAGCCCCCTCCCTCATTCTAGCTCCTGGCCAGACCCTGCACGCCAACCTGCTCCTTCACCCCCAGCCCTGGTCTCAGTGCACTCCCACCCTCATCTCAGTGCAGAGAGAGGAAGAGAATGGCTAGAACCAGGGAGAAGGTAGACCGAGCCAGGACCCCAGACTGGCAGTGGGCTGAGTGGGGCTGGCAGCCGGGACGGATGGACCCCCAGACCGGCAGCGGACTGAGCGGCAGCAGGCTGAGCCGCTCAGCCCACTACTGGTCTGGGGTCCTGGCCGCCAGCCCCGCTCAGCCCACTGCCGGTCTGGGGTTCTGGCTGCTGGCCCCTTGCCAGCCGGGGTCCCGGCCACAGGCCCCATTCAGCCTGCTGCCGGCCTAGGTGAATGGAACCCCCGGTGTAAGATCAGCATTTTAATTTAATTTTAAATGAAGCTTCTTAAACATTTTGAAAACCTTGTTTACATATGACAATAGTTTAGTTATATAATATATAGACCTATAGAGCGAAACCTTCTAAAAAACGTTAAAAGGTATTACTGACAAGCGAAACCTTAAATTAAAGTGAATAAATGAAGACTCGGCACACCACTTCTAAAAGGCTGCCGACCCCTGGCTTAATACATGTCGGATTTCAGTCTAAAAGAACAAATAGCACAGAATCATCTAATCTCATGAGATTTCCACCATTTGGAGCCAAAGTTCATGGGAAATGCTGAGGTTTAAGCAATATCTGAACATGAACTGGATAATAAGTCGATTTGGTTTTGGATCTGACTAGAAACCAAAACCACGAGATGGATTCAGATCTGGGGATTCAAAGCCACATAACCCCCCAGTCCCAGCCCTGACATTTTAAGGGGTTCAGAATCCAAAACAAGCACATTTATTTTGGCCACAATCTGAATCTCAAGTTATCCCCACACACTTAGTATGTAATGGGTCACACATATGCTGTAATGACAGTGTATACTGCATGCTTTTATTGTTTGCTTTCCCCTTTTATTATACATTTACAAGTAATTATTTTAATATTATTCAAATAGCTTATAAAGTAACTAGTTTTGCAAAAACATTGAGCACTTGAAAAAAAAGTAAAAGTTAAAATATATAGCTTAGTGTAATGGGCCTAGCTACCGACACCAAGCCTGTATCTTTCACAAGCTAAGACGAATAGAGGGGATAGTAGATCAGTTATATTTTGAAAATTAATCTATCCAAAAGGTTAAATTAACACAGAAGAAAATAGTTTTTTCATTCTTTCCCATGAATTAACAAAAACTGAACATGCAAAGAGAATGAGGACAGTGGATTCATTCTTTCCTCCACTCTTCTCCAATATTTTTGGGAAGAATGAAACCTGTAAAATAAAGCAAAAATGCCTATCACAACTTCCTATAGCACAGAACTCTGAGGCTTAAACTCATGAAAATAAGAGCTCACAGGTCATTATTGTACATATGTAATAATATACAGTCTTGAAAGTTGAGATTTTGTTCCCCTGAAAAGGTTCAAAAACAAACACATACAAACACACAAATAACCAAGA